GGACGAGCGCCTTGTGGAGATGGGCAGTAACGTGAGGAGCATCAGGCGCACTCGTACAGGCGAGATGCTCCTGGTGCTCAAACGTGGTGCTAAGGACCAGGGACCAACCTACCAGAAACTGGCAAAGGAGGTTGTTGGTTCTGGGGTGCAGGTGAAGTCGCTAGGCTCGACTATCACCATCCAGGTCAAGGATCTGGACGAAGTGACGGAGGCGACCGAGATAGTCACGGCGCTCCGGGAACAGTGTCAAGTCGAGGTACCGCAATCAGCGATTACCTTGAGGAAGGGACTGTTCTCCACCCAAGTGGCTACCATCAGGCTCTCTGCAGCTGAGGCCAGAAAGGCGGTAGCCGCAGGGAGGGTGCGAGTGGGCTGGTCGGTCTGCCCCGTCAGTATTCCCCGACCGGTGACGGCTTGCTTTAGGTGCTTCGGTCAGGGCCATGTGGCCCGTGACTGCAAGAACACCGACAGGAGCAAGCTTTGCAGATGGTGCGGCTTGGAGGGCCATAAGGCGCGAGGTTGCCAAAAGCCGCCGAGGTGCACTATATGCGCGGAGAAGGGGAATACCCCTACCAACCACATGGCAGGTGGCCCCCGCTGCCCGGGGTCCAAGAGCAATGCTGCTAAGGCAAAGAGCAATGCTCAGCCATGTTCGAGGTAGCGCAGTTGAACCTGAACCACTGTTCGGCTGCCCAGCAACTGCTGTGGCAATCGGCAGTGGAATGGGGAGCGGATGTCGCAATCATCTCTGACCCGTACCGCGTCCCAACCGGCAACGGGAATTGGGTCACGGACGCGTCGGGGATGGCGGCGATATGCACGATGGGGAGCTTCCCCATTCAGGAGGTAGTCGTGTCCAACTCGAGCGAGGGATTCGTGATCGCCAGGGTTAACGGAGTATACTTAAGTAGCTGCTATGCTCCGCCCAGGTGGTCTATCGAGCAATTCTCGCAGATGGTGGACAGACTGACTGCGGTACTTGTCGGCCTAAGACCGGTGGTCATTGCGGGCGACTTTAACGCATGGGCGGTAGAGTGGGGTAGCCACCACACCAACCAGAGAGGACGCATCCTACTGGAGGCAATGGCCTGTTTTGGTCTGTAGCTTGAAGGCAATGTTGGATCCTTACCAGGCTTGCGGATTGGTATGATTTTTGCTACTTTCCAGATGCTTGGAAAGTAGTGCAGTTCCAAGCATCTGTTGAAGATAGCGGTTAGAAGAGACTGCACTTTCATGCTGAGTCTCTTCAAGATCAAGTTGAATATACCGTCAAACCCGGGAGCCTTCATGTTCTTGGTGCATTTCAGCGCTGAACAAATTTGTTGTACTGTAATCATATCCGCCGGAGGCACGACACAAGGGGAGGCATCTAGGTTTTGAACGCATTGCGCAACCTGATCATCGAGCGGACTTTGGATAGTCGAGCCAAGCAAATGCGATGAAGCGACATGCTCGCCGATCGCATTTGCTTTCTCCTGTGGGGTGATTAAAAGCCGATCGTCATCATTTTCGACTTTGAGAGGTGGAACAGGTTTAGGATGATTTTTCAGGACCTTGGCTACCTTCCAGAATGGTCTGGAGCGGTCGTCCAGATTCTGGACAACACGCCCGAAACTTTCATTTCGGAGTGAGTCCATTCTGGAAGCAATCTGCCTGTTCAGATCGGCCATTTCACGTTTTTTGCCCAGGTCTCCAGTCCTCTGAAACTGGCGTCTACGCACATTTCTCAATCGAATCAATAATTGGGTGTGGGAATCAATAGCAACAAACTTACCCCTCACAGGAACTTGTCGAACGCATGTCTCGTCAGCCTCGGATATGGCCTGTTGGAGTCCTTCCAACGCCCGGTCGATGTCATCTACGGTGTCGAGCAGTGGATTTTCATCGATGTTGCTGTCCACCATTCGACCGTACTGCACCCAGTTGACATGGTGGTAGTCTTTACGCAGGCAGCCTCTAGCAGGAACCACGTTGACACCGACTTCAGTCACCACCGGTTGGTGGTCGGAGCTGAGATCGTTGTGCGCCTCCGGCTTGGATAGTCCGATGTTTGACAGGAAAAAGTCTAGCGTGGAGGGATTTCCCGCTGGAGAGATGAAAGTTGGTTCGTCCGGAAATTGCACTGTGTACAGTCCATGTTGTGCGTGGTCGAACAATAGACATCCGTTTCGGTTCCTCTGGTAGTTCCGCCAAGCTTCATGGCGGGCGTTCAGGTCGCCCCCAACGATGAATCGGGAGCTAGTACGGGTGATGGCGGTCAGGTCCTTCTTGAATTGGATTCCTAATCCGTTGCTTGCGGTACACTGGCGTGGGCAGTAAACAGCGATGAACCGGACGTTTCCAGTTGGTGATTCCACCTCCACACTAATGGCCTCGATGATAGAAGTGCGGATGTGGGGCAGAGTGCAAAACCGAACTTTAGGTGGGTTTCGGTTAGAAGACCCACGTCGATGCTATGCTTGCGGAGGAAGTCGGCAAGCTCAATCTGTTTAGCTCTTACAGAGCAAGCGTTCCAGGTAGCGATGGTTAGTGGTTTAGACACCATATTGAATGATGAACTTACCGAGCACTTGGATCTGTTCGGGCTTATTGCGGCACTTACGTAGAGCACCGGTCATGTTGATAAAAATCTCCATCAGTTCGTCTGCTGAGAACAGATCGGGATTGTTTGTTTGAGCTGTTGGTTGCCTCCAGAATCCAGGGGGGGATGGAGAGCTTTGTCCAGCAGAAGATCCAGACGTTTCTTGAGGGGGCGCGGATCGCACCCTGGGATTTGCTTGTCCACGAAGAGGTGGAAAGTCCTCTGTCCTGAAAGCCGGGGCCTTATCCTTCCTTCGTGCTGGTTGATTGTTGGTGGACGCTTGATTTCGGATGCGCTTGAAATCCTCGCGTTTAGGGCACTGCTTGTTGGATCCTTGGTGAGCACCACCACAGTTGGCGCATTTGGACGCCACAGCTTCATCCGCAGCACATTCGGAGGTGGCATGGTCTTGAGCGCAATTTCCGCAGCGTGGCTTAATGTTGCAGTTGCGGGTACCGTGTCCGAAGTTCAGACACCGCTGGCACTGAGTCACATCGCGATGGCCGCCACGGTATGGCTCCCAGCGAACGATGATGGAATTGATGGACCGGATGGCTTTCAGTGCGTTGAGCGTCACCGTTCCCTTCTGGAAGTGTACCAGGAAAAGGCTATCCGGATACGCCTTCACATTCTCGTCTCTTCTTGCCATTCGATACACGGCACTTGGGGCCAGCTTGTACCGGTCCCTGATTTCTGATTCGATAAACTTCGGGTCGAAGTTTGGTAGGCCCCTGATGACGACCTTGAACGGCTTCTCACCGGGAATGTCGTGGGTAAAGAATTCCACCTTGGAAGTCCTCAGGTGGGCGACGACCACGTCAAACTCCGTTTTGGTACGGAGCATCACTTTAGTGCCGACTCTGCCCAACTTGTATTCGGCTTTAACACCCAGCGTCGCTAGATCCGCAATGAGCACATTAAGATGGGCATTTTTCACTACCAATGGAGGTAGCTTCACTTTTGCCGTGCTCATTTCGGCAGTATTCACGGTTTCGGCAGCGTCACCGAAATCTCCAACATCGCTGTTGTTCGTCGCAGTGACATCGGACTGGCCTCGATTCTTCTTCCTCTTCTTACTGCGTTTTTCCAACACAGCTGGCTGGATATTCCCATCCATGGGGAGAACAGCAAACCTGTTCGAGGTAGGCACACCGGAGCTTCCTTCTCCGGGGTTCTGGACCTTCGCCGGGCTTCGCGACCGATGCTTCCCCATTACGGGGCACACACACACGCACGACAAACCGCGAAAGAGAGAGCGCGAACACTATCGCAATGAACTTTTCAACCAACTCGAGAGAGCGAGCTAACACCGAACTGAACTGCTTGACGATCAAGCAGAGAATGATGATGTGCAAAAGCATGACAGCAGCGCTGTTTTATATCTTTTCAGGTTCTGAACCTGATAGGATTTCCCGCCGTTTTTTATGGATGAGGCGGAGCAAAAAGTTTGTTTTGTGCAGAATATGTAAAAAAGGATGGACTTTGGATGTTACTATAATTGCATATATAGAGGTACCAGATATGTTTTACAGTCAGTTGTTGGTAATTCATCGAGTGTATGTCTCCTATTAAGCAATTTTTTTTTTTTTTTGAAAATGTTGGCTCTGCATGTAACAAATTAATTGTTCATACATTATTAGGGTTTGCTTAAAATTTATTTGCCGAAAAAAAATGATCGTCAAAGTCTATTTGTCCATCCAGTCTTTTTCGGGTTATTGTTAAGGGGGAGGGGGAGGGGGTTGTTAAGCGGGAGGGGGTTTTACATGCACGTTTTTTCAAGTCTCATTCCTCATTGTGGTGGACACGCCGTGATCCACCTTTAGCCGCTGACCTAGTCCTGCTTGATGCAGGACCTAGTGCCACGCCGTCCGAAGCGGTAATGAGCAGAGGCATGAGAGCAGCGCTGATTTATATCTTTTCAGGTTCAAGCAGAATGATGTGCAACCAAGTAGTATTCGTTTGTGATGACTGATAAAATGTGATAAAATTATCATTTGTACATTTTCAAAAGTTTAATTACAGAAAAATTGGAAAAATACTTATTTCAACAGGTTCGTAATGTAATATCCTATCGTTACAAGCGTTCAAAACCTAACACTCCTTCACCACACATATTTTTTGATTTGCACCCCAGTATAGTCGACAAAGACGTAATTCTACGTTAAAAAATATAGTTTGAAAAATTTACATCACTAAGAAAGTTATTTTTCCTGCTTTTCATTCTGTATTTTGATCAGTTTAATGGATTGACCATTTTATCGGATGTTCCGGATCTTCCAATCGGATGTTGTTGCGATGTCCAACTTAATTTTTTGTATTCCAATTATCTTGCCCTAGTTTTAAGGTTTGATGGTTATTCTAAACTAGGAATACTACTCAAGTTTCGGATCCAGTGAATGACAACGTACGTTCCTTCGTATCAATTTACAAAACATTTGTAATTGGTTCCAATTAGCCTAATTTTAAGTGTAACATATTTTCAATTAATCCTATTATATACAGATCAGCACCCGCGCGTCATTTCGTCACCTTCCAAATACAACCCTTCGAATCACACCTCTCAATTCTTCTTTTTCTGCTGCTGCTGCTTCTTGGCATCCACCACGACATTTCCCAGCGAGATCTGATACTCTTGCATCAACTTATCCTGTATGTCATGCTTGCACGGCGAATACCGACTGTATTCCATACTGAACTCACCCTTGCCCTGCGTGCTCGATCTCAGCTCTCCCGCATAACCAAACATATCGTTCAGTGGCACCTCGGCGTATACCGTGAACCATCCCTCGGAGCCCTCGGTTCCCGTAATGATACCGTGTCGCTTGTTCAACTGCCCAATAACCGTACCCTGGAACTCCTCCGGAGTCGTTACCTCCACCATCATGATCGGTTCCAAAATCTGCCAGTTTCCATTTTCGAACACACTTTTGATAGCTCCTTGTGCCGCCAACATGAACGCCAACTCCGAAGAATCGACAATATGATGTGCACCATCCATCAGGCGGAATTTGATACCGGAGAGCTTATGACCCGAAAGCAAACCCTTCTCGGCCATCTGGCGGAAGCCTTTTTCCACGCCAGGAATGAACTGCTTCGGAACGTTGGTACCAATGGTTTCATCGGTGAATTCTATCACCGTGTTCTGGTGAGGCGGAAGGGGTTCCAAAATTCCAGTAACCCTAGCGAACTGACCCTGACCTCCGGATTGCTTCTTATGGAGGAAGTCGAATTCGCAAGGAGTGACCAGCGTTTCACGGAAAGCGACTTTCGGTTTTCCCAACACAACAGGACAATTGTACTCACGTTCCATTCGCTGAGCATAAATTTCCAGATGCAGCTCGCCCATTCCGGAGACAAGAGTTTCCTTGATGTCCGTGTCGTAAGCAAAACGGAAGGTTGGGTCTTCTTTTGTGAAACGAGCAACTGCTTTGGAGAAATTATCACGATCCTTGTTGTTGGCTGGCTTGATGGCCATTGAAACGACAGGATCCGGAACGAAGATGGACTCCATGGAAAGCTCCAAGTCGGGATTTGTCACGAAGGTATCACCGCTAGCGCAATCGACGCCAAACAAGGCAAAAATGTCTCCAGCGTAGACTTCATTTACGTCCTCCATGTTGTTCGAGTGCAATCGGACCAATCGGGCCAACCTGACTTTCCTTCCAGAGCGTACGTTAAAAATGGTATCTCCTTTCTTCAGTACACCCTGATAACATCGCAGATAGGTCAACTGACCAAACCGACCGGCTTCCAACTTGAAAGCTAACCCTACAAACGGACTCTTTCCGTCCCTAGCGGGATTCAGGACAATTTTCTGCGGTTCTTCTCCCTTCTTCTCAATGAGGGCGGTATTTTCAACTTCTCCAGGGTGCGGCAGATAGTCCAATACTGCATTCAACAGCGGTTGTACGCCCTTGTTTTTCAAAGCAGTTCCCACGAGCACAGGAGTAAAGGTTCTCTTCAATGCCGTCCTACGAATGGCTGCCATAATATCCTTTTCAGTGGGTGTCTTCTCCTCCAAGAAAAACTCTCCAATTGAATCGTCCACGTTGGACAAGTGTTCAATCAGCTCATGGCGCCGTTCGTCGCATTCCGTCCGCATGTCCTGTGGAATTTCGTCCTCCCGTATCTTCAAACCCATCTGATCATCAAAGTAGAGAGCTTTCTGTTTAACCAAATCAACGATGCCCTTGCAATTGCTCTCCACTCCTATCGGCAGCTGAATGAACGCTGCATTATGGTTTAGCTTGGACCGCAGCTGACCTAGAACACGGTATGGATTAGCTCCCGTTCGATCCAGCTTGTTGATGAAAGCTAAGCAGGGTACGTTGTATCTAGAAATGTTAAAAATCTCCTATTAGAAATGAGATCTGAAAACTGAAATACAACAAATACCTTTTCATCTGGCGATTGACGGTCAATGTCTGACTCTGAACGCCGCCCACACTGCACAGGACCAGAATGGCACCGTCCAGAACGCGCAGCGCCCGTTCCACTTCCACTGTAAAATCCACATGTCCGGGCGTATCGATGATGTTGATGTTGTGATCCTTCCATATCGTATAAGTCGCAGCCGATTGAATCGTAATCCCACGCTGTCGTTCCAGCTCCATCGAATCCATGGTGGCTCCCACGTTGTCCTTGCCCTTGACTTCGTGCATCTGCTTGATGCGGCCCGTGTAGAACAGAATGCGCTCAGTCAGCGTCGTTTTACCACTGTCGATGTGGGCCGATATACCGATGTTCCGAATTCGCTCCAACTTTGCATGCTCGGCAAAGGCTACATGGCTCGAAAATGGTTGTTTGGCGTTCTGCGGAACGAACGGGCGATCAGATCCCCGGTAAACACCCTGCCAGTTATATAACTCAGAATGGAAAAAGAAGGTACACCTACCTCAAGAAGAGATTTGACCACGACAAGCGAGGGTCGTGCTCGCAGAAAACTACTGATGGTCATTTCGGATGCGGAAGTGAACCTTGTCAGGTGACCGGGAAGCTTGTTTATGCAACAAATTTACGGGAATTTCACTTGCAAAAACTGCAACGCAAGATTCCACGCGAGACCGGACCGATCGCGTGAGATTGAAGGACGAGAAAACATGACTCGAGTGTTTGACAGTTCTTCTCTCTTTCGAGCTTCGCAAAATTTGCAAAAAAAAAATGAGAGAGTACTGTGTACGCTACTTCAAACCACTCTAATTTGAGTAGAATCAACAAAGATCGGTAAAAACTGAACCTGTCCAAAAATGGGTAACCTAAGTTGGAAGCGATAAGCTGACAAATGGACAACATCAACCTGAATCCGAACGGTGTTGTTAATTTGTCAACATGTCACTCTCAACTTAGTTTACCATTTTTGGGTAGGATCAGTTTTCGATTCTACCCTAATTTGGGTAGTTTTGAAATATTAGTTAGGACTCGTTTCCAATTTCTTAACCTCAATTCAAGCTGAACAATGCATTATGTCCGATTCTCTTCATCGACTTTCTCTTTCGTTAAAAACTTCGGAGCAGAACCGTTTCTTGTGGTGCTTGTCGTATAAAATGATACATAGAAGCTGATTTCATCGATCTGTGCTGTAATCTGAAATTAGGTGGGAATGTCTTAACATGACCTTACTTAGGACCTAATGCAATCTTCAGTTTGATTTAGGAATACTACCAACAATCAATACGAAACTAACGATTTTTTATAGGCTCACTACTTGACTAGCCTATTGGTCCCAAGCAAATCGATTAACGTATCCCATTCTAATATAAATTCCAGTACTACACTATGTTTGTTTTGATTCACTATGAAAGTTTGACAGATAAAATGAGGGGTTCGTGGATTTTCCTATGTTTCGAGGGGTGCATCGATTAGCTTGGGACCGATGATAGTACCAGAACTGAGCCAAAAAATTGAGCTCGTTTCTTCGGGATTATTTTTTTATTTGGAAGGATGCGGAATAGATTCAAAATCTATTTCGGATTTTCGTTTTTCTTCTGACGTCAGTTGTGGAGGAGGATGATACAGGGATCGGCATCAGAAACGACAGAGTAACGACGATACTGTGGGGTTCCTCCGATTTTATCGAGCTGGAACTTTGTTAAGACACTTACCTAGGTGGGTTTCCGGATCCATGACTTCGGTTTTGTTGCCGGCCGTTTTCAGTTGATTGGCAAAGCTGGGGCAATTTTTTTCCGAATGTAAACAAGAAGGAAAAAAAGGCAGCCCGCATAAACGCGAACCATAAATTGACCTTACCTAAAATGGTTAAAAATTGTTTATAATCCCTGCTAAACTTTAACTGAAATGGTTATGGAACTTTACATGAACGTTTAATGATAAAGTTTCAACCTTATGTATTATGGTTTTTTGGAACTGGACCTTACAAATAATGGGTTGTTAAGAACCATTACCATTCCAAATTCTTGTTTTCTCCATACATTTTCAGAAAGAGAACTATATAAGAACGTTTTTACTTATGATTTGAGAACATTAATGGTAATGGTTATGGTAGTCAGTAAGGTTCATTAATGGTTTTGTATTATCGCTCAACTTTACGTGGAATATATCGTGAATTGGTAATCAGTAAATTACTGGCAACCAATTCGCGATATATTCCACATAAAGTTGATCGATGTTACAAAACCATTCGTGGACCTTACTGACTACCATAACCATTACCATTAAAGTTCTCAAACCATAAGTTAAAAGGTTCTAATATAGTTTTCTTTCCGAAAATGTATGGAGAAAACAAGAATTTGGAACGGTAATGGTTCTTAACAACCCATTATTTGTAAGGTCCAGTTCCAAAAAACCATAATACATAAGGTTGAAACTTTATCATTAAACGTTCATGTAAAGTTCCATAACCATTTCAGTTAAAGTTTAGCAGGGATTATAAACTATTTTTAACCATTTTAGGTAAGGTCAATTTATGGTTCGCGTTTATGCGGGAGGGCACGCTAAAAATCGTTTACCCAAATTCTATATTGTTGAAATAAACATGCTTTTGACTTTAATTCAAACATATATATTTTTGTTGCAAACATGTTTTTAATTTATTTTGAATTATTCATATGTTTATAGAATGAACATTTATATTTTTGATTTAAATGAACAAAATTCGGTTCCGTGATGCATGTACGAACCCACACCACTGAGTGGACGGTACAGCGCAAATCAAAACACGTCATCATTCAGCTTCGTCAGGTTCCGATTTCGTTTTCATTCGCTGACGTTGACAAATAACTTCTTAAGGGTCACCCATGTTAGATCCGGATCGGACGCGTTGCGGCAAAGTGACCGCTAAATCTATTGTCTAACTGTCAAATTTACGTCAACGCAACGCAAACGGATCTAATGTGAGTGTCCCTTTTCGTTATAAAATAGGAAAGTAATCATTATTCCATCGTAATTTTTTTTAATAGAATGAGAGCTGCGTTGGCCAAGGATGTCGGCATATTTTATTACGATTGTTTAGCAATGATTTCGATACGTTGCATTTCCAGTAGCATAAGGGAGAGGGACTGTTCTTTTCCTTGCTTACTTATTTGTTTATAAAGATTATTTTAAGTAACAGATTCGCAAATCATCAATTACTATTAGAGATTTGCATCTTACTGATACCGGTGTTCATATTGTAAACTCTATCACTTGAAAGCAAAACATATTACAAGCCCACATTGATGCAATCTTCGATATGTGATTGAAAATCGGTGCAATAAAAAAAAGGTGAGAATTTCTCTACCACAGTATAATGATGACATCGAGGATGATATCGTCCTCTTCCCCCGGCTCGCCGTCAATGTCCGCGCTGGCATCTGTCATGCTGATTGTACCCGGCAGATATTGAGCCCTGGTGAGCCAACTGTTTCAATGTACACTCACCAGATGGTACTGCGATCACATAAGGGTGGTGTATCCATTGTCTTTTTCGAGCCTCGAACCAACATCAATATGAAACCACAGACAAACAGACATAACATATTGAATATTTCTCACTGTAAAACATCGTCGCTAAAACATTACCGCCATCTGTTGGGTACACTGTGGTGGGCACTACACTGAACAGATGGCGGTAGTGTGTAAACGTCAAACGCAAGGGAATTGACTATGCGTGCCACAGGTGGTAGTACCATAGAGGTAACTCTAAGACTAGAAGCTCCAGAAATAACGTGCTCAACTTTTTGGCTCAGCTCTGGTACTCTCTTCGGTCCCAAGCTAATCGATTCACCCCTCGAAACATAGGAAAAACCAATAACCCCTCATTTTATCTGTCAAACTTTCATAGCGAATCAAAACAAACATTGCGTAGTACTAGAATTTCGACTAGAATGGGATACGTTAATCGTTTGCTTGGGACCAATAGGCTAGTCAAGTAGTGAGCCAATTTAAAATCGCTAGTTTCGTATTGATTGTTGGTAGTTGGAAAACCTCAAAAATCTGCCCTAAAATAAGGAAAATTTACGAGAATCCAGAGAATCCAATCTTTGCTTTTCTCATATTCGGAGCATGAGGGAAATTAATTCAAAACTGAGTTCCTGCACTTTTTGCGATTTATGAGTGAACTAACCTCAAATTAGGGTCGTTCTCATTCGCCGTGTAGTGCTGACTCAGGACAAAACAAACTTTGCATGCGGCGAGAGACCGAGGGACAACAATTTACATCGTGATGAACTTTGATTCTAATGTAACGTTTGGTTCTGTTGTCATTGGATGTATTCTGATGTTTTATGCGTGCAACAAATTACATCGTGATGATGTTTGATTCTAATGTAACGTTAGGTTCTGTTGTCATTGGATGTATTCTGATGTTTTATGCGTGCAACAAATTACATCGTGATGAAGTTTGATTCTAATGTAACGTTAGGTTCTGTTGTCATTGGATGTATTCTGATGTTTTATGCGTGCAACAAATTACATCGTGATGATGTTTGATTCTAATGTAACGTTAGGTTCTGTTGTCATTGGATGTATTCTGATGTTTTATGCGTGCAACAAATTACATCGTGATGAAGTTTGATTCTAATGTAACGTTAGGTTCTGTTGTCATTGGATGTATTCTGATGTTTTATGCGTGCAACAAATTACATCGTGATGATGTTTGATTCTAATGTAACGTTAGGTTCTGTTGTCATTGGATGTATTCTGATGTCAAATTTTACATCGTCAAGACGTTTGATTCTGATGTAACGTTTGAGGCTAATGTATTTTTATGTACTTGGACGTCACACTGAAGTCTGAATACATTAAGGTTACAGCAATACACGTTAAAATTTAATGTATTGAAGATGTCTGCTGATGTTTCCTACATTACAATTTCTATTCGGGAAACGAAGTGACAGACGGAGCGGCTCGAAAACTTTGGTGACTAACCTGCTATTTCAATTTTTCAGTGTACCACATGGCAACACCACTACTACTAGATTGTACCACATGGCAACACTACTACTGGATTGTACTAGCATTTTCACCAAATATATTAAAATGTTTTGGTTCTATCTCTTTCACTCTACTCAAAACTGAAATGCATAAAAAATGACAAAATGATGCACTCTTTGCACACTGTCAAAGAATCATTATACACAAAATCAACTTTGTTCAAATCAAAACAAAAAAACTAACCCATCTGGTGGATGATGGCACAAGCTTCCAAGAAAATTCTATTTCAGTGAACCACATTATTTTAATGGATTTCTTCGCCAGTTAGTCGTCTGTCACTTCGTTTGTGGTTGTAGTCTGTTGTAGTTCGTTGTTATTGTCGGTCGAATTTGACACCGGAAAACCCCACACCCGACTTTCGATTTTACTCTCGTTCTGTACAACAACAAAGCGTCGGACATGGTGTGCATTATGGCGCATCATTGTACAAATACAGCGCACTATGTCCGACGTTATGTTTTATGTACAGATTGAGAGTAAAATCGATTGGCGCGTGTCGAATTTTCCGGTTTCCGGTTTTCAAAACTATGAATATGTTTCCAAAAATAATAACAACTACGTTTTACTCAGATTACAATACTCCCTATCTGTTTCTTCTATATCAAGAGCAAATTTTCATTACGTCGAATGTAACAAAGGTAAACAAAGTCGAGCTATCAGTGTCAATCGATGCTCCTGCTATTACACTATATACTGTCCGAATATAGGATCACATCCCATTTTTAAATTTATTTGCCAGTCAAATTGCTTTTTGACGTAATCACCTTCCGATCAAAATAGTTTTCGATGTTACTTAAGTCACCCAATTTCTATGAAGATGCCGTTTGACTTAAGTAACAGCGCTGAGAAACCCGTGAAAAGTGTACGTTCGTCGTTTCGCTTTCTCATTATTAAAGTGAATAAATCGAACTGTTTAATGCTAAGATGATTTCGGTAGTCCTAAAATGATGAATGGGCTGCACGTAAGGAGACGTAATTGATAATTCTCCCGAATATCCTGGTAAATACACTTTGACTTAAGTAACAATAGGGGCCACCAAACGACGTATAATAACTTTTGACTCAAAAACCAGTATTTTTTAGCATGAAAGCTAGCGATTTGCATTTGTATGATTAAAACCCTGCTAAATATGTCAAACATTGCTATCACTATGAGATTATATGTGTTTACTTGGAAATAGGAATAACTTCCCTAATAAAAATTGTATGGTTAATTTGCTTAACGACGTGTTCTGGGTATCATCCAAACCATTTAGGGAATAGTTCAATGATTTGGGTTATCGTTCGTTTATGGTTATTTTTTATTAGGGTTTTCGGTCATCAAAACAAAACTTTATTTTTCTCGGATTGGTGCGAATGTTACTTACGACATAATGAAAATTTGCTCTTGATATGAGCTCTTATAAGAACAGTAAAAAATTGTTCGATTTTGACAGTTCAAATTGGTTCAAAATCCATTACAAGTCCGCCAGACCCAGGTGATAAGGTAAACACTCGTTTATTTGTTTTCTTCTGTGAAAGCATGTTTGTCACAAATCGTGGATTTTCTGATATTCTCCATACTGCAAAAATGATTTTCCTACCACTGAAGGGGTGACATCTCTCGGATCTTCAGTATAGCTACTAATCAAATCATAGTGGGATATCTTGTTAATTAGATATCTTTGGTCGCTGGCACAAAACAGTTCAGAAATGTCACGATATTTTTTCCGCTTGCCAGTTTGTTTTTGTGTGTCTTCACTATGGTCATCGCGAAAAGTATCAAATATTAAGGAAAAAAATGTTACACTCCCGAACTCGTGCCATCACTTGACTATGAATGTTAACAAATTTACTATGATTCTTGCAAAACTACTATGCTTTCTCAAAATGCATAGTAATGTTGATAAAAATATTTTAAAATTAAATGAAATTGTTTTTTACAAAAATCTATTGGTGAGGCTATTTATACCAGGAAATTAAATTTTGCGTTGGATGTATCCCTCCGCACATCCGACACTCGATAATCCGGAAAATGTCGGATTAAATTTCGAATCAGTTTTCAGAATAATTCTGTCTATTTGTTCTGGTTTTTTTTTTTTAGTATGGATATGACAGTCGAACCATAGAGGTAACTCTAAGACCAGAAGGTCCCGAAATAACGTGCTTAAGTTTTTGGCTCAGCTCTGGTACTATCTTCGGTCCCAAACTAATCGATTCACCCATAGAGGTAACTCTAAGACTAGAAGGTCTCGAAATAACGTGCTCAACTTTTTGGCTCAGCCCTGGTACTCTCTTCGGTCCCAAGCTAATCGATTCACCCCTCGAAACATAGGAAAAACCAATAATCCCTCATTTATCTGTCAAACTTTCATAGCGAATCAAAACAAACATTGCGTAGTACTAGAATTTCGACTACAATGGGATACGTTAATCGTTTGCTTGGGACCAATAGGCTAGTCAAGTAATGAGCCAATTTAAAATCGTTAGTTTCGTATTGATTGTTGGTCGAACCCCGATCGTCCGGCCATGATTTTGTCGGATGAGCGGGGGGATACTGTGAATTTTATTATTTAACTTCCACGTAAACAGTACCACTTGATAGAGGTTAACCCCGACGGTGCAAAACATTATGCTCATGAAAAGCTCACTATTTTGCCATAAACAGTGCCAAAACAAACAATAAATACGGGCGGATTTGAACAGATTTTGACCTGTTTCATACGTCCGGAAGGTTTATGCTGGTCACAAATGCCTTGCCAAATTGATTTCCTACGCAAGTGATCAATCTTTGCCATATACATGGGTCATTTTAGTAAAGAAACTAACACTTTCTTCCTTGTGTGTCACCTTTGTATTAAGCGCCTAGACATCGTATAACCATAGAGGTAACTCTAAGACTACTAGGTCCCGAAGAAACGTGCTCAACTTTTTGGCTCAGCTCTGGTACTATCTTCGGTCCCAAGCTAATCGATTCACCCCTCGAAACATAGGAAAATCCAATAACCCCTCATTTTAGCTGTCAAACTTTCATAGCGAATCAAAACAAACATTGTGTAGTACTAGAATTTTGACTAGAATGGGATACGTTAATCGATTTGCTTGGGACCAATAGGCTAGTCAAGTAGTGAGCCAATTTAAAATCGTTAGTTTCGTATTGATTGTTGGTATAACGCAATATTAACTACAATCAATACGAAACTAACGATTTTAAATTGACTCACTACTTGACTAGCCTATTGGTCCCAAGCAAATCGATTAACGTACCCCATTCTAGTATAAATTTCAGTACTACACTATGTTTGTTTTGATTCGCAATGAAGTTTGACAGATAAAATGAGGGGTTCGTGGATTTTCATATGTTTCGAGGGGTGCATCGATTAGCTTGGGACCGAAGATAGTACCAGAGCTGAGCCAAAAAGTTGAGCTCGTTTCTTCGGGACCTCCTGGTATTGAAGTTACCTCTATGATATTACACAAACAGCGGAATGACCTGTGCAGCTGTTTGGATCTATTATTCAACAACTTTGTTTGCTATGTAGTGACGAAAGCTGGGGCCTTATTGAGCATGTTGAAACGAAGCATTTTTTGTATGAACTTTTGTATGAAAAAGTATTTCATTTCGACTTGCGAAAGGAGGCCCCAGTTTTGTCAATAGGGGATTGCTCAGTTTTGTCCGATCTGGTGGATTCTACCCTAATTTGAGTAGTTTTAAACCGATCGAACGGCCTATGAGAATCTGGGGTCACATTGCAAGCGTTCGTACAAAAAGTGTTTCGTTTCGAGATGCGCAATGTGGCTCCTGTTTCGATGTAATTTTCAGCAACGTTTATTGCTGTGCTGTCACAAGCTTTAGGACCCCCTTTTTCCATCGAGGGTGCATCTAGATGTCATTTTTCCAAGAACAAAGCACATTGAATCGATAAATTTTCGTTTTATTGTTCCTAGTAATGATAATATACTTGTTTACACTTTACGATACTTTGATATTGCAGATTTTGGTTTAGTTGCTTCAACGATAAATAAAAACATGCTATTTTTATAACTTAACTTCTTTGATAATAACGACTAGACAATAAGTTACTAAATAAATACAATGACTTAGACCACTCACATTCCATATACCATCGCAACCGGTTACGAATTATGTATTCTAAAAGATGTTAGTGCGATTTCTGGACAAGGTTCTGCGTTACGCTGTTGTATATTTTAAATTGCTCAATTTGAATCAATCACCAGCACCACGTCATTATGACTCATTAAATTGCAGCAAATAAAGGACTTAGAAATGCGCGCTCTTCTGACCATAAATCTTCGGATTAAATGCAGTTTTTGCTAGCTGCTATATTTGCGTGCGTATGCAGTGTAGGTGTTATTTTTTTAACAAAATAAAAACTATGCTGAAATTCGTGTTTGTTTCAACAGCAATATTTTTGCGGCACCCTAATCCCGATCATGCAACTTCCGGTGACGTTTCAGATTGGAAGAGCAGGAGAACTTTTTCAGGCAAACGTCACACGAGTACGGGCGTTCGCCTAAAAGTAAACGTAAAATGCAATTGGTGTTTTTCTTTTCTGAATCAATTCTCGAAGCTTACCCGTGTGGGTTCGATAGTGCAGCTCCAGGCTGCGAGCGTTGTCGAAAACCTTAGTACAGGTAGTGCAGCGGAACGGGTTCTCGTCACTATGCACGCGGTAGTGAGTTTTCAGTGTTGATGCGTTGAAAAACGATTTGGAACATATATCACATTTGTATGGCTTTTCGCCGTCGTGCTGCAGCATATGTTGGCGGAGATCATTGAACGATTTGTGACAAACATGGCACTCGTGGCTGCTGATTCGAACCGGTAGGACGCGGGTCAGGGTTACAGGTGCTTGAATCTCAGCTGGTTTTCCACTCCGATTTGTGATGATGTTATTGTTAATATTCACGTTATTCGGACTGACCGCAATATGACTCGTAGTCGTTTCATTCAAAGCCCTCCGATTTGGTGCCACGTGTGTAGTCTGGATGGCTGTCCGTTGCGAGTATTTCACTTTTGAGTGTATATATTCCACGTGCATATTCAAGTTTTTTGCAAAGTGAAATGTCTTTGGACAATAAAAACATTTGAAGATCTTCTCTTCCTTGTGACTAGTAATGTGTTTCTCAAGCTGCTCCAGGATAGCAAACTCGGCAGAACAAAATTCACATTTAAACAAAGGAACTAAACTTGCATGACGACTGAAATCAATTCCACTGTTTACCATTAGCTCCGTTTGAATCGGGATATGAACTCCATTGGAGTTTGGATCAATCTGCATTTCTTCAGGACCCTCGTTCGATTCCGATTCATCCCATTCTTCGATATCGGCTTCATTGATATCATCGTCGTCATCATCTTCCTCGTCGCCAGCGGTGCCGAGAATAAAATCTGGCTCTGTTTTGATCACCACTTCAGGCTCGAGAAAGGTCGATCGTAGATATTCATCATTTTGAATACATTGTTCTCGAAATTGATGGAAGCTCTCCACTTTGGACCTGCATGGCACACATATTGCAGTTGGATATCCCATCTTTTGAGATACCTTCGAACAAATCGAATAAATAAATCATTAACTTGAACTTTAATCATCGAACATGGATCCTAAATGGCATCATCATACGCACCTTCACTGTTGTGCAGTCGTAAATTATCATCTGCAGCAGTTCGTTTCCACTATCACCAAAAATAGATTCCAAGTTGTCATCGCCGGACAAGCAGAGCCTGCAAATGTTTTCTATTTTTGCACTAGAAAGGAAGAAAATTTTTGGCAGGCCAAATTTGATCGGCACCATCAAAATTCCACCATAATACGCTGACCCAGTAGATTAATTCCGGAAATACTCACTGAAAAGTGCTCATGTTTGCGCAAATTACATTTGCGTAGTTTTGGATGGGAAAATACAGGTATATTTAGTGGAAAATTCAAGGAAAAACTATTCCCTGCGAAAATAGTGTTTACTGCTGCTGTCGGCAATGGGCGATGGAACTGTCAGAAATGGAAAATATTTCTGACAAAACATTGAAAGTTTAGGGATGATCATAATGTTATCAATTCCATTCGGAGCTCCAATTTGAAAGCAAAATCGGAGTAGTGAGCCAATTTAAAATCGTTAGTTTCGTATTGATTATTGGTATGATTGTACATGTGGCAATTATACTAATGCAAAAATGGTACAGGCATCGAAAGCTCTCAATTGATAACTGTGGAAGCTACAATCAATACGAAACTAACAATTTTAAATTGGGTTCTTTAAGGGTATTGAGGTAAATGCATATTCGTAATCTGCATTAAAAGTGGAAGCACAGGAGTGGAACTTCAAATCAGAAAGTGGCTCCACTGGTCATTTGCGAACACTAGCGCACCTAGCGGTAGAAGGCATCTTCGGCCTGTAGTTAAGATAGGCAGCATGCTATGATAGTGTGAGTGCACATAGAAAGCCTATGTGGAACGCTACCACATCACATCGCTCGTTGAGCAGAAAAACGAGCACTTTTTGATTCACCGATTTGTTTGCACTTCCCCTTCTGTTCTGTGGTGGAAGCCTTGGAAGCTAAACCCAAAATTTCATCAATTTTGGTACACTGGAACTATTTTAAATAAGTACGATTACATTCGCAAAAATCACCTTATTAGCACCCCTCGGTGTCACTTTATATAGGAGCGAGCTATCAGTTTGTTAGTTTAGTGTCAAACAGTGAAGTTATCATTTTGTTTTCAATCTTGATTTAAAAATCAAGATGAAAGTTTGTGGGTTCGAAAAAAATATCGTTGTGCTCAGAAAACGAAGCTCTTTCAGATGATATATAAAAACCGATACATTTTTCAAAATTAAAGAACCCAATTGGATCACTACTTGACTAGCCTATTGGTCCCAAGAAAATCGATTAACGTGCCCCATTCTAGTCGAAATTCTAGTACTACACAATGTTTGTTTTGATTCGCTACACGGAAACCGCAAAGTACGCAAAAATGACTATAAAGGACTCAATTTTGACTATAAAGTATGCATATTCGGCTAAAACGGGACTACACCTAAAATGTGTGTATTTTTTACACATTTTATGAGTATCTGGTACTCATAAATGCATAAAATTTATTCATTTTTGTACTAGTAATTACTCATAAATGTGTAAAATTTTACTCATTTTGTGGGTAGTCCCGTTTTCATTCAAAAATGTGTACTTTATAGTCATAAAAGAGTTTTTTGCGATTACCGTGTATGAAAGTTTGACAGATAAAATGAGGGGTTATTGGATTTTACTATGTTTCGAGGGGTGAATCGATTAGCTTGGGACCGAAGATACACTGGAACAAAGATAATAGTTAGGAATACTATTTTGCAGAAAACACTTATTTTTAGTATAACTACGTTTAAAACCGTTAAATCTACCATGATTTCAGTATAGTTGACTATAAATATAATCAAATTTACTACCATTCTGTCAAAACTACTATGCTTACTCAAACGGCATAGTAGTTTTGATAGAAAAAATAGTAAAATTAAATGAATTTCGTTTCTGCAAAAATCTATTGGTGGGAGTATTTAATTTAAACCATCAATATAGTATTTTTGCCAATGGATTTTGTTTCTGTGTAGTACCAGCATAGAGGTAACTCTACACCGAAAAAAGTTTTCATGTAGCTTCCATTGGAAACGCACATGATTTTCATCCATAATCAAAATTAATGGAATTCATCTGAATTACTCATAACATTTATGCAATCACATTAATTGTATGTGATTTTTCATATGAATTTCATCGACCTCATAATATTCATGTGATTTTGTGGTGGGATTTGCTGCTATGTGATCACAGAAAAGCTATGTGAAATTCACATGGATTTCATCCATTAGATATGTGATAAATTTTTTGAGTGTAAGACAAGAAGGTCCCGAAATAACGTGCTCAACTTTTTGGCTCAGCTCTGGTACCATAGAGGTAACTCTAAGACTAGAAGGTCCCGAAATAACGTGCTCAACTTTTTGACTCAGCCCTGGTACTCTCTTCGGTCCCAAGCTAATCGATTCACCCCTCGAATCATAGGAAAAACCAATCACCCCTCATTTTATCTGTCAAATTTTCATAGCGAATCAAAACAAACATTGTGTAGTAGTAGAATTTCAACTAGAATGAGGTACGTTAATCGTTTGCTTGGGACCAATAGCCCGCATAAACGCGAACCATCACATGACCTTACCGATAATGGTTATAAATTGTTTATAATCCCTGCTAAACTTCAACTGAAATGGTTATGGAACTTTACATGAACGTTTAATGATAAAGTTTTAACCTTAAGTATTATAGTTTTTTGGAAGCGGACCTTACAAATAATGGGTTGTTAAGAACCATTACCATTCCAAATTCTTGTTTTCTCCATACATTTTCGGAAAGAGAACTATATTAGAACGTTTTTACTTATGGTTTGAGAACATTAATGGTTATGGTTATGGTAGTCAGTAAGGTCCATTAATGGTTTTGTATTATCACTCAACTTTACGTGAAATATATCGTGAATTGGTAATCAGTAATTTACAGGCAACCAATTCGCGATATATTCCACATAAAGTTGATCGATGTTACAAAACCATTCATGGACCTTACTGGTTACCATAACCATTACCATTAATGTTCTCAAACCATAAGTTAAAAGGTTTTAGTATAGTTTTCTTTCCGAAAATGTATGGAGAAAACAAGAATTTTGAATGGTAATGGTTCTTAACAACCCATTATTTGTAAGGTCCACTTCCAAAAAACTATAATACTTAAGGTTAAAACTTTATCATTAAACGTTCATGTAAAGTTCCATAACCATTTCAGTTGAAGTTTAGCAGGGATTATAAACAATTTATAACCATTATCGGTAAGGTCAATTTATGGTTCGCGCTTATGCGGGAGGCTAGTCAAGTAGTGAGCCAATTTAAAATTGTTAGTTTCGTATTGATTGTTGCTGGTACTATCTTCAGTCCCAAGCTAATCGATTCACCCCTCGAAGCATAGGAAAAACCAATAACCCCTCATTTTATCGATCAAACTTTCATAGTGAATCAAAACAAACATTGTGTAGAAGTAGAATTTCGACTAGAATGGGATACGTTAATCGTTTGCTTGGGACCAATAGGCTAGTCAAGTAGTGAGCCAATTTAAAATCGTTAGTTTCGTATTGATTGTTGGTACCAGAGCTGAGCCAAAAAGTTGAGCACGTTTCTTCGGGACCTACTAGTCTTAGAGTTACCTCTTTGCTGATACTCTCTTCGGTCCCAAGCTTATCGATAGCTAAACATAGTGTAGTACTGGAATTTATACTAGAATGGGGTACGTTAATCGATTTGCTTGGGACCAATAGGCTAGTCAACACGCAGAAAAATTGATTTGATTTTTGTTTCAGGGTTTAATGTATTTTGTTATTAATTCAAACATATTGTATCACTATTTCAACCAAAACATGTTTTTGAATCAACAAAATGGTTTTTAGAATCAACAAACAAATCATTGACTCTACAACCGGTTTGTTGATTCAAAAATATTTTTCTTTGAATTAACCGAATAATATATTTGAATCAATACCAAAAATATATTAGGCCCTGAGCCAAAAATATATCTATTTGAATTTAAAAATCATTTCTCTGCGTGAAGTAGTGAGCCAATTTAAAATCGTTAGTTTTGAATTGATTGTTGGTACCAGTCTTTTATGAACCAATTTTTCTGTCAAACGTGAATCAGCGCCCAATTGGTAGGGCGAAAGTATAGAAACACGATAATTTTTACAACAGGGAATCTATTTTCTTGTATTTTGACTAGAAAGGGAGAGGTAGGCGGAGAAAACAAAATGCAATTCGGCAACAGGGATTTGTTCCTAAATTATCTTGCAACCCTTGCTAGAAGCTAGCATTTCAAATGACTTTTATTTTTGAATCGATTTACGTGCAAAATAATAATTGAGTGCATCGCAATATTTTGCACATTTCTTGGTACCATTCATTAATCAACGAAGATCAATTAATCAATAGAGTTAGAATATAGTTTTTGGTTCCAAAAACTAGTTGAATTTGAGAAGCACACAAAACATAGAGGTGATTGAATTTCTGTTCGATTGCAATACTCTCAAATTTATTCTAGTGAGAATAAGAAATCGTCGGAAAAATTCTAATTGGAATGTTCGATTGGCTCAGATTTTTACAGTTCATTAGGCTCAAAACATTCTCTCCGCCCATCTCTCCCTCTGAGTATTTCTAATTTTGACAGTCAACTGCGTCGCCCATGAATTACGCGCTATTTCAAAACTACCCAAATTTGGGTAGAATCCACCAAGATCCGTCAAAACTGAACCTACCCAAAAATGGGTAAACTGTGATGGGAGTGACAAGTTGACAAATGAACAACGTCGATCGGATTGATGTTAATGTGGAACCAATTTAATATATTGTAGACCAACAATTAAAAAGGTACTATAAACTTTTATAAACAAAAGGTTGATTATTTTTTCCTCGCCAATTGGGTTCTTTAAGGGTATTGAAGTAAATGCATATTCGTAATCTGCATTAAAAGTGGAAGCTAAGCCCAAAATTTCATCAATTTTGGTACACTGGAACTATTTTAAATAAGTACGATTACATTTGCAAAAATCACCTTATTAGCGCCCCTCAGTGTCACTTTATATAGGAGCGAGCTGTCAGTTTGTTAGTTTAGTGTCAAACAGTGAAGTTATTATTTTGTTTTCAATCTTGATTTAAAAATCAAGATGAAAGTTTGTGGGTTCGAAAAAAATATCGTTGTGCTCAGAAAACGAAGCTCTTTCAGATGATATATAAAAACCGATACATTTTTCAAAATTAAAGAACCCAAGCGAAGGTAAATTACCAGCATCATCGGATAACGGAAAATGTCCACAACCTAAAGATGGTGTTTGCATAGAGGTAACTCTAAGGCTAGTAGGTCCCGAAGAAACGTGCCCAACTTTTTGGCTCAACTCTGGTACTATCTTCGGTCCCAAGCTAATCGATGCACCCTTCGAAGCATAGGAAAATCCACGAACCCCTCATTTTACCTGTCAAACTTTCATAGCAAATCAAAACAAACATTGTGTATTACATACTAGAATTTCGACTAGAATGCGTTACGTTAATTGATTTGCTTGGGACCAATAGGCTAGTCAAGTAGTGAGCCAATTAAAAACCGTTAGTTTTCACCGGTTGGTGTTAGTTTGTGTAGGCGAGCCTTGAGTCACGAGAAAACGGTTTTCGAAATTTTGTACGCAATAGCTGATGTGCTCTTTTCTGTTGTTGTTCATGATTTGCTCGATTGGTTCCGCTATTTGATGTGAACTCAAGTGTTTAGAAAGCATCAACATATTATGAGATATTTTCAAAATGATCCATGTACTTACAGCTTTAATGCACGGGAAGTAATATTTAAAGTGGTAACAATTCAAAAATATTGTTGAAACATAAACAAAAATAATATGATGCGCAGAAGTAGACACAGTGTGGAATTTGGTGCTTACACAATAATCTTTCCTCCTCTTGTATCGTGTTCGTGATAGGTGTATATGTCAATGTTTTCATCTGGAAATCTTCTTCCATGGACCTTTCCGACGTTTATAACACGCACACTTGCGTAGTCCCATGTTCAAGTGCAAAGTTTGTTATCCTCACTTTCGCTACAGCCAAAAATGATGGTTTGTTATTGTTATCCTCACTTTCGGACTATCAATTCTCGTGCGCGTAGAATGGACTATGGTATAATACTTTCCTGATTAAAACATATGACGGACAAAATCGCACTAAGTCTTTAGCTTTATCTATTATCTCTCGCGTAATATTTGAAAAGGGCCTATTCGCGTTGATCGATTCTCTCCATCGATCTTTTTGGTTTACTACGGCAACATAAACGAATTTCTCGCTAAGCTCGCAGCATAGTTCGACAGATGATGATGTTAGCTTGCGCGTGAAACAGCACACTCAATTGGAAATTCATTTGCAGTCGGGTTATTCGCGAAAGAGAAAATCGATGAAGAGAATCGATCAACAATGATGGGCCCTTTTCTCGTGTGGCGCGAGATTTGTTATTTATAGGCACTGGGAGTATGATGAAAAATACTTTAAATTGTAAAGTAGGAAAAGATCGCTCATTCGCATTGACATTGCATTTGATCATCGTTTTACTTCACTACTTTTTCTTTAGTGAATGTTGGTAAACAAATCCACATGTTCTCTATATATTTTGTACCAACGTAATAAATATATTCAGCCAAACACATATTTGTGAACTCAAAAGCATAAATTACGCGCAAGGCATGCTTGTTCACCAAGAAATCAAAATAAAGGCTTGGAAATTAATCATAATTTTGTCAACAAAAAAAACCCCTTTGCAACACGCTGCACTTTTGTTGTTTAAGACGTTGAAAACACAATGTTCAAACCTCGGTTCAAACATCATGTACAAACATTGGACGCGCCCATGTGTGATACATGTTCGAACACAAGGTTCAAAATATTCTGTGTGAGTGCAAACATGAAAAGCAGCAACACAGCGAAAACACGTTCATCTCGAACACTACGTTGCATGTTCAATACCGAAGACTGGGCCCAGGCCATGAATATAGCGACTATAGTTTTTGCACGGTCGTTTCTACGAGAGAAAAAGAACACGTCACAGACAAAAAAGAAGCCATGGGTCTTCTCTTTATCTTAGGCTGTGTTCCATTTGGCGAATTTTCACTTAAACTTGACAGATGGAAAATTTCCAAATTAACCTGCTATTCCAGCAGACTTATATCTGACAGACAAGGAATCAATTTTGACACACACCTTCTCGAAAATTGGCCGATCAACAACAGAGGGATTTTCGAACATTATAATTTAGTTTCGAAGTGTCAAATTTAAGTGAAAATTCACCAAATGGACCACAGCCTTAGGCTGTGGTCCATTTGGTGAATTTTCACTTAAATTTGACACTTCGAAACTAAATTATAATGTTCGAAAATCCCTCTGTTGTTGATCGGCCAATTTTCGAGAAGGTGTGTGTCAAAATTGATTCCTTGTCTGTCAGATATAAGTCTGCTGGAATAGCAGGTTAATTTGGAACTTTTCCATCTGTCAAGTTTAAGTGAAAATTCGCCAAATGGAACACAGCCTTAGGATAAAACCGAAAAGAAACGAATAAAACATCGCAAAATAATAACTCTGCCTTTCTGGCAACAATTCCAACTGCCCAAAAGGACAGCCCTGCGTACCTGTCAAAGCAAAGGTGCCGAAGCCGAAAAAATAAAAACATTCCGTCACTCGCTTAAAGAAAAAGTTGCCGCACGGATTTCATTGATCTCCGATCGAGAAATTCTTTTCATTTTGGATAAAAATATCTTTTTTTCTTTCCGATCAGAGTGGTATTAATCCTCAAAATGATTAATATTTCGCGAACACTTGGCGGCGCAGTTTCGCGACAAATTCTACGCAGTAACAACGCGACAGCTCTTGGACAGACTCGAACCTTCTCATCCGGTAAGCGAACAACATGCACTATCTAGTGGAGTGGATGTAGACATTGTAATCATTTTTCACCGAATGATGTAAAAATCCAAGGTCAAGAAGTTGTGAAATTAGTGCTTAGTCAATGAGTTGACATGTTTTCGTTCTGTTTTGATTACAGAGAAAAAGTATAGCATCAAAGATGAAGTACTTGACGGAAGACCACTCTACTTGGACGCACAGGCGACGACATCACTGGTAAGTACCATCCAGGCGAGGTCATCAAACATTTAATCATTCTGCAAATATTGCTGTTATCTGTAGGAAGTTATACTCTCTCATTCATGAAATAGCATTCCCTTGCATGATTGCATAATTAATGAATTATTGTTTCAGGACCCCCGAGTATTGGACGCAATGTTACCCTATCTGACAGCATACTATGGCAATCCACATTCGAGGACGCACGCTTACGGTTGGGAATCCGAAGGAGCGATGGAGAAAGCAAGATCCCAGGTGGCCAGTTTGATCGGAGCTGATCCAAAGGAAATCATTTTTACATCCGGTGCAACCGAATCGAACAATATTTCCGTAAAGGGAGTTGCACGATTCTATGGGGCCAAGAAGAAGCACGTCATCACGACCCAAACCGAGCACAAGTGCGTGCTGGATTCATGCAGAGCTCTCGAAGGGGAAGGATTCCGGGTCACCTATCTACCGGTACAGCCGAATGGGTTGGTTAGCATGGAAGAGTTAGACAAAGCTATCACGCCAGAAACATCCCTCGTATCGATAATGACCGTGAACAACGAAATTGGCGTTGAACAACCCGTGGCCGAGATTGGTAAACTATGCAAATCCAAGAAAGTATTTTTCCATACTGATGCCGCTCAAGCGGTAGGAAAGATTCCGATCGACGTAAACAAGATGAACATTGATCTAATGTCGATTTCCGGTCACAAGGTTTACGGACCCAAAGGAGTTGGTGCCCTGTACGTACGGCGACGTCCTCGAGTTCGTGTGGAAGCCATTCAGAGCGGAGGTGGCCAGGAGCGTGGCATTCGAAGTGGAACCGTTCCGACTCCACTGGTCGTTGGATTGGGGGAAGCTTGTGAAATCGCTAGCCGTGAAATGGAGTACGATCACAAATGGATGGAGTTCCTCTCGAAACGCCTGATGGACCAAATCTTCGCATCGCTACCGAAAGTCATCCGCAATGGCGATCCAGTTCATTCTTATCCCGGATGTATCAATCTGTCGTTTGCATACGTTGAGGGTGAATCGCTGTTGATGGCCCTGAAAGACGTTGCCCTCTCCAGTGGGTCCGCTTGCACTTCGGCTTCGCTGGAACCGTCGTATGTGCTGCGTGCGATTGGTGCCGACGAAGATCTGGCTCACAGCTCGATTCGCTTTGGCATCGGACGGTTTACCACCATCGAGGAAATCGACTACATCGCCGAAAAGTGCATCAAGCACGTGACTCGACTCCGAGAGATGTCCCCGCTGTGGGAGATGGTCCAGGAAGGTATCGACATCAAGTCGATCCAGTGGTCGCAGCATTAGAGCGGACGGGTCGGGGCATATTTTAAAGAGAGATTTGATTTTGTATGTTCTGCTGTGTATGGTTGAATTCAGTGAGGGTTTTTTTTTTGAATTGTTAATCATTGATTGTGTTATTAACACATCCACTTTTGGTAGTAAGTAGGTATTGAGACGAGAGAAAAATAATGTATAGCTTTGCTACATATGCTATTAGAGACAGCAATAAATCTTAGACAGTGAAATCATTGTGAGTATTTCATCATTCACTTGGCGAAAAAACTTCCTATCAGCGATTGTTTGAAATAGTATAAACTTTGTTAGTTCCCGTCAAGGACGGCGTTGTTACGACTACGCTAAATTCGCAAATCTGAGGTATTCGTGGACTGCCATCTCAGATTTGCTTTGGCGCGGATTAGTTCCACTTAGGGTTAATTCAACTAAGTTTCGATTCTAATTATTTGAAGACTCCAGGAAAATCTACGTTTAGAAAGACCTTCTATTATTTAATAAAGAAGTAAAGCAGTAAAGTTATTAATAGTTGGTTGGGCAAGCTAAAATTTCATTTAAAAAAATGTGTTCAATGTCGATAAGCTTTCCGCAAAATCCGCACTTCAAAAGCTATAAAACCGCACAAAATTTGCGACACTTGTAACAGCCCTGCAGTTGGCTTCGGCGTGCCAGAGAATACCTAATCCACCTAAACGGACCTGAAGAAACGAAAAGGAGCGCGACTGTGATTAGACGGGCTAGCCTTATGAAGCTCTCTACCGACATACAATATAGCATGGTTGCAGCAACCTTATATTTCACATATTTGTCCCTAAAGATTACTAATTTACACCCGACACCCTAGGTAGGATAATGTCATCGCAAATAACAACAATTCCCGTTGAATACATAGTGCGAAAATGCTCTTTACTTTCCCCAAACCGTCTCATCACAACCTACGCCTCGGTCAGCGTGGCCCGACCGATCGTTTTCGGCATCTTTTTATTGGTGGAATCCTCGAGCTCCTTCGGTTTGTAGTAATGCGGTGCCGCCTCCAGCAGCCACTTGCTCTCGATTTCAATCACCGACCGCATGTACTCCTTTGTCGTAAACACCAGCTCGTGGTACAGCACCCAACGAGGCAGTTCTTCGAACAGTGCCGAATTCGGATGGATCATCACCGTCTGATTGTGCTTGGCCGTTTTGTAGTGACCCCCTTTGGAAAGCCGAGCGACGTGATAAAAGTACCCGGCTGTAATAGCCTTCCGGATGTTGGTCGTTTCCGGCAGACTGGAAACCATTTCGATTTCGACTCGCTGCATTAACCCAACCAGCTGCTCCCGGACATCGCGAGCTCGTTTCATCGAACGGAACTGAATGAAATTTTCGTAACACCACTGAGTGCTGTAGTCCGATTCGGCCCATTGGTTGTAGACCTGCAGCAAACTCAAGTGGTCCCCGTGCATGTGGTTGAAGTTCTTCCGTGCCGTATCGGCGTGGATGATTTTGTCTTTCGGTCGGTAGAAGATGGCTCCATTCACTGATAGCATTGCAGCGATGGCCACCACCTCCTCGGAACATTTGTACTTTTCACTAGCAAGCAGCATTTTTGCCATCATGGGATCGACCGGAAATTCCGCCATCCGTCGTCCAAGTTTGGTCAGCTCACCGTGGTGATTCAATGCTCCTAGGGCGTAAAGTTGCTCCAATGCCAAAACCAACGTTTCATGTGGTGGAGGATCGAGAAAATCGAAATGAAGCAAATCGTTGATTCCAAGAGCTTTGAGCATTAGCACGGCATTGCCCAGATTTATGCGCTGAATTTCCGGGACGGTGTTATCTTCCAGCTCGTGTTTGTATGCCCAGGCTGTGTACAGACGAAAGCACTTGCCAGGGGCAACGCGCCCTGCTCGACCTGCACGTTGATTGGCAGACGCTTTCGAAATGGGCACGACCATCAGGGTCTCCATCCCGGTTCTGGAGTTAAAATTATTTTGCTTTGCAAAGCCCGGATCGATCACGTACATTATGTTATCGATGGTTAGTGATGTCTCGGCGATGTTGGTGGCCAGTACGACTTTCCGGGCGTTCGGTGGAGTTGGATCGAAAATTTTCGCCTGCATGTCCGACGGCAGATTGGCATAAATGGGAAGGATGAGTAGTTCCTTGAGTTTGGAACCCAACCGCTTGACGCGATCCTGGAGCATCTCCTGGCAGGCTTCGATTTCCTCTTGTCCTGGAACGAAAAAAAAATGTAATTTTTTAACATCGCATAGAAATAGACCCACTTACCAGTTAAAAATACAAGAATGTCTCCAAGAGGCTGAGTGGCATGAATCTGTAGAACCGACACCACACATGCATCGATATAATCTGCTTCCGGTGCTTTGGTGTAGAAGACATCAACCTAGAAGAGAAAAAGTTAGATTTTACAGCAAAACACAAAGCAAGTCAAATCTAACTACGTACCGGAAAACGACGACCAGGAATACGAAATATGTTCGCATCATCGAAGAAATCCGAAAACTTTTCCGCATCCAACGTGGCACTGGAAATCAGTAGCTTCAAATCCAACCGAAACCGCGCAATGTCCTTCACCAATCCAAACAGAATGTCCGTGTGCAACGTACGCTCGTGAGCTTCATCGATAATCATCACACTATAAGAAGCTAGGTCCGGTTCCGAAAGAAACTCCCTGTGCAACGTACCATCTGTCATGTATTTAATGACAGTCCGCTCGGATGTGCAATCCTCGAAACGAATACTATAACCAACTTCGTTGCCCAACTTGACGCCCATTTCCTGCGCAACACGTGCCGCCACGGACATCGCTGCCACGCGACGAGGCTGAGTACATCCAATCTTCTTGCCGTCGTTTGTAAACCCAGCTTCATAGAGATACTGTGGAATCTGTGTCGTTTTTCCCGAACCCGTTTCTCCTTCGATTATAAGAATCTGGTGTTCTTTTATAGCGGCAATGAGATCCTCCTTAAACGGAAAAACCGGAAGTGATTTCTTCGTTTCCTCAATGTCCATCTTCTTCCTTTCCGCCTCAGATACCGGTGCTTTCCGGTCCTTTTCTTTAGTTCCATCCAGTCGGAGTGCCTGGACGAAATCAATCTGATCATCCAACAGCAGTTCATACTCTTCCTGTTGACGGGTGTCCTTCGAGCCAAATTTATAAACCGCTGAAGCTAGCTGTTCAGCTTCCCATTTCTTCTGTTCCGCATTTGGTACCTTCTCCCGTTCATCAACTTCCACATACTCCTCTTTGTCCCCTTTCTTGATGTCCTTCGGCATATGGTACCGCTGGACCCGTTCCAGCTCCCTTGCCTTCTCATGCTCTTTGGCAATCTGCAGCAGACTTTTCTTATACTCACGATCCTGTCGTTCCTTCTCGGTAATTTTCGACTCCTCAAACAGATACTCATCGTCCAAAATGTCCGCTTCCAACTCGGCAACTTTATCATCCTTGCGTTTCTCCAGGTACTGCCGGCGTGAATGAATTCTCAACTTTGGAAGCAACTTGTCACGATCTTCTGCTTCCAGTTTCAACCGCTTGGCAGCTTCCTCGTACGCTTTCCGGCTCGTCGATTCCACCACCTTCCGCGTTCGTCCTTCATCCTTCTGCTTCAAACGCTGGGAAAACTCGTCCCTTTCCTTGATATCCCGACGACGTGCCTCTTCCTCACTGTCCACGGAACTGTCCTCCGAGGAGGATGTAGTAGCTTGCCTACGGCGGCTCATTATTTAGACCGCAATGCGCTGAATTCACTGAATAAAGTTTACTTGGTTTTCGCGAACCGAGAATCCACAAAACGTTTTATGTTTACAATCTTCGTTTTTTTTTTTTATTATTATTTGGCAGGAGTAAATCCTGCTGTGAAGGTTTATGTGAACGGATTTTATAGCGCGTTGCCCATGGGACAGAGTTGCCAGATATATCGGTTTGACGAAAATTTAACCGATTTATCGAAATTTTAACATTTCTCAAACAGTTCAAACTTCATTGAGACCTTACTAGCTATGTTAACTTTATACAAACTAGTAATTTAATAGTCATAAAAGAAACACTACTGTTACAGTTTCTGGTATGCTCCAGCTACATTTTGACACGGATGATCAACTATACGAGACTATATTCAACTGTTATAAAACATTACGAATAAAATGACGGCGCCGGTGGTGTAGTGGTAAGCGTGATTACCTCTCACCCCAGCAGACCTGGGTTCAATCCCAGTCGGCGCCGCCGGGATGTTCTGAGGCATAACATCTCTGATCACGCCTTCCTTCGGATGGGAAGTAAAGCCGTAGGTAGGGTCCAGGTGTGGAAGCTGCCTTCCTGGCACGTCGGTAGCATTAGTGCTCAGCACGAAAAACAATATCGACTGAAAACAAATCTCGCGTCACTTTTCAATAGGCCCTATCTACATTGATCGATTTTCATCGACTCTCTCTTTCGTAAATAACTCGGCTTCAAAAATGTTTCCTGTCGTGTAGTCGTGTAGATGCTAGATTTTTGCTTCTACCATCGAACTGTGTGTAGAAAATATCCGGCCGTGGCGATTAAAAGTTGATGAAGAGAATCGATCCAAATCATTTGCACCCCTGCTTTCCAATTTGGTTACAAGAGCATTTTTTGCGGTCGTTGGGGGCGTGTTGTGCTGAATATGCACAAACAGCCAGATACATTCTATTCCTACTCTTTACTGTAATAATCTTGGTTGCCCTGAGAAGGGCCATTTTGTTGCCAAAGTTGGCGATGATTTAACCTAAAACCTAAAACCTAAAACACGAAAACATCCTTAAAACGTTTGGTTCTAATGTCAATAGATTGAAATTTTTGACGTCAGACCGACATTAGAATGGCAAAATTTTGTTCCAAAATTTCTGATGTATACACCATGTTACGTTGCTTAAATACAACTAAATCATAATGTTTTCTAATGTTTGACATCAGGCATACATTTGATTTCGATGCTGATGTAGACATCAAAATCAAACGTTGGGCTAATGTAAATTTCTATTCGGGCTCCGAAACCGTACAGAGTGCGTCTGTCGCTTCGAAGCGTAGACGACACATCCATGGCCACTTACGCTCCAAGAAAACCTTCAGCACACCTCGTAGATCAGACCGGAGACACGTTTGACACCGCCACGGCGAGCCAGACGACTGCTTTTACTGCTTCTGCTTTTGCTGCTTCTGCTGTCTGCTCACCACGGCGTCCGAAGCGAAAATGAGTTGAGGCTACTTAGGCAGCAGCGTTGTTTTATATCTTTTCAGGATAAAGCAGAATGATGTGCAACCAAGTGGTACTTGATTATGACGACTGCGTTTGGGAACAACGTTTATTTCATGAAAACAGTGAACAAATTATCACTTTTTATTTGTACTTTGGAAAATGCTTGACATTACCACTGTTTCAATAGTTTCTTGTTGGAAATCATCAGTTGGAAGCATTGCGTAGACATATTTCTGATCGATTGGTGATAAAATTATAGAAATTGATCCAGGGGCAGCTGAGCTATTAATGTTCAAAATCTTTCATAATTTTGTTTCATGTTCCATTTTCGGTTTTCACAAAGTGTACCCCAGTATAGAAATTAAAGTGATGAACGTTCTTAACCACCCAACGTTCGTATGGTTAGGTCTTCGAAAACCTTGGGTCTCGGGTATGGTTCGATTAAAGTTGACTGTACCATTCTCATTATGGTTTTTACAGGAAGATAAACCATTTTCAAGGTGGTAATCTTATGGTTGTGATTCATGGAGGAATGACGCTACACGAATAGAAAATATTTCAACTGTATAGTAGAACTAGAGAGAAACGGACTGATTGGTCTGAGCCAAACGAGCTGTCAAGGCCCGTCCTAATAAACAAATACCATAAATGAACGGTATCTCACACAAAAAATAATCGTAATGAAATTAAAAAAAAAACATTGGTAGAATTAAAAGTTTGCATTGGTTCTTTTTGGTAGAAAGCGTTAAGCTTTCAAAACAAAAGTCACCCAACTGTTAATTCAAAAGTTGCCCACTCCCTACTTTCAAAAGTTGACATTTTAAAAGTGAATTGTAGTACCAACAATCAATACGAAACTAACGATTTTAAATTGGCTCACCACTTTAGTAGCCTATTGGTCCCAAGCAAACGATTAACGTGCCCTATTCTAGTTGAAATTCTAGTACTACGCAATGTTTGTTTTGATTCGCTATGAAAGTTTGACAGATAAAATGAGGGGTTATTGGTTTTTCCTATGTTTCGAGGGGTGATTCGACAAGCTTGGGACCGAAGATAGTACCAGAGGTGAGCCAAAAAGTTGAGCACGTTTCTTCGGGACCTACTTGTCTTAGAGTTACCTCTATGGTAGTACCACAGACAAACAGACATAACACATTGAATATTTCTCACTGTAAAACATCGTCGCTAAAACATTACCGCCATCTGTTGAGTACACTGTGGTGGGTAGTACGCTGAACAGATGGCGGTAGTGTGTAAACGTCAAACGCAAGGGAATTGACTATGCGCGCGACAGGTGTCGGCACTACCAACTACGGTACTTTTAAATTATCCGTTAAATGCTTGTTCGATGAACAATTTTCGAGTGTTATGTCTGTTTGTCTGTGGTAGTACCAACAATCAATACGAAACTAACGATTTTAAATTGGCTCACCACTTTAGTAGCCTATTGGTCCCAAGCAAACGATTAACGTGCCCTATTCTAGTTGAAATTCTATTACTACACTATGTTTGTTTTGATTCGCTATGAAAGTTTGACAGATAACATCAGGGGTGTGTGGATTCATGCAGAACATGCAGGGGTGAGTGAAATAGCTTGGGACTGCTTGGGACCGTTGTTTTGGTACTGAGTGAGCCAAAAATAATAATGATTTTCTTCAGGACCCAGTGGTCTTAGAGTTACCTCTATGGTAGTACCATAGAGGTAACTCTAAGACAAGTAGGTCCCGAAGAAACGTGCTAAAACTTTTTGGCTCACCTCTGGTACTATCTTCGGTCCCAAGCTTGTCGAATCACCCCTCGAAACATAGGAAAAACCAATAACCCCTCATTTTATCTGTCAAACTTTCATAGCGAATCAAAACAAACATTGCGTAGTACTAGAATTTCAACTAGAATAGTAGCCTATTGGTCCCAAGCAAACGATTAACGTACCCTATTCTAGTTGAAATTCTATTACTACACTATGTTTGTTTTGATTCGCTATGAAAGTTTGACAGATAACATCAGGGGTGTGTGGATTCATGCAGAACATGCAGGGGTGAGTGAAATAGCTTGGGACTGCTTGGGACCGTTGTTCTGGTACTGAGTGAGCCAAAAATAATAATGATTTTCTTCGGGACCCAGTGGTCTTAGAGTTACCTCTATGGTAGTACTGTACTGTCAAATGGAAAGCGAGGCAGTGCTCAAATTAAAAGCGGATTATTTTCATTTCAATAAAAACTTTTGAAAGGAAAGTATATGGTATAGTTGACATAAAATGTGCCATTCTAAAATGGAAAACAGTGTTTTTAATTTAAAAATAAGCTTTTTTATCGTTCTTTTTCCTGGAGTTTTCAAAATGAGTTCTAATAAATGTTAATTAATTTCTTAATTTCTTATATTTATTTACTTCCTAAATTATTCATGTTGTCTATCCGATTTCCGAAGCCGTCGCTGCTGCGGCCTCGGCGTCCTCCGACAATTTTCCCACTCCTTACTGATGGGATGCTTCATCCTGCATCGATAGACTGCCACCTATCTTACCACACGAATCTAAGCACGAATGTAGCCGATAGGGTAATGGAATCATGTTTATCAAACACGTGGGTGTGTGCACTGGAAAAGTAAGGTTCATACTGCAAAAAAGAAAAAGTCACTATTCACATTCACATTCTTGACATCTTGATCTTACACTTTGAGACGTCACCGGAATGTTCTAAGGCATAACATCTCTGATCACAGGAAGTAAAGCCGTTGGTCCCCGGTTCATGAGTTGATGGGTTGATAGTAAAAACACTTTATACAAAGACTTGCGGATGTAAAAACAGTAGAACTAGCAACCAGCGAAAATAACAACAAAAGCTACTTAAAAACTGGCCTCACTGCAAATCATGCAAACTTCACATGAACGCTTGATAATGTTTACAAGACGGTAGCCCAACTGAGTCAGCGAAAACGTAAAAAGAACGATTTCAGCGATGGCGGTGATGAATCTGTGACGATGTTGCTGTCCTTTTTCCTCGAGACAAACGACATGACAGCAAATCTATGGCCATATGAATGACAATATTTAAAATATACACAATTGATTGAAGTTTCACTAGATTTTAACGCTTAATGAAAGAAAGATTGAATTAAAATCGGCATGGAACAACAAAAACATGTTTGCAGCATTTTTCTTTATTTTCCATTTTAAGTTACCTATTCGAAAATGTTAAATCTGGATAACAATGCTGCCCCCTTACCGAACAATCGAATCTTACATGTTCGTTTGGCTGCACTTTTTGACAGCTCGTTTGGCTGCATAAAACAAATCTTCGCAAGTCTTTGTATAAAGTGTTTTTAGTTGATAGGTAGGGTCCAGGTGTGGGTTGCTGCCTCCCTGGCGTCGGTAGCATTGGTGCTCAGCCTGGAAAACAAATCAAGGAAAAAAAACGTTCAATCCATAGCAGCCATTAATGTTATTTGGTGAAAAAAGAATCTGATTAGTACGGCTGAGATCTTGCAGCACAGCCGGAAGATACTGAGCCACCGATAAGATGGATCAATTGATCTAGGATTCCTCCTGCTGTTGGTTCACGTGGCAGCGCATTTCGTAATCCCTATCACTGGCTTAGACTGACTCCATCCACTGGAAGTTATGCTCAGACCCCGTTATTGCCATATCGACAAACATCCTCCCTCCACTCCTGCAATGCTAAGTGCTGCCAAACATGCCTCACGAAATCTTGTGGAAAGCAATTGCTGACTCTGCTGTATTGGCTGTTTCTGGAGCTGCTGCTGCTAAACAGGAAAAAATAAATTAAATTAAAACACTACAATTACTCAATTTACCGAATCTTCTGAAAAATAAAAATTGAATCGGTGGCGTCAGGTCACCTTTGCTGGCCGTTCAAAGATGGGTGTTGACTTCCGGATGCCACTACCTCGGCTACTGCACAGTGTCGTATCGGTGTATCTGCTTCTCGATCTGCTTGTATGAGTCACGCTCAGCTTGAGAATGGGTTCTCATTCTTCCTCAAAACCCAAAATACACGTGAGAAAAACATCTTTTGAACGGGAATTAATTTTCTAAACTGAATCGTATTTTACATAGGTAAGTTAACAGTGATCTTTCATAAGAGCCCGTAAATGTAAACAATTACTTTTTTCACAAATTGAAATGAAAACTCTCCCAAGTAAATCACCAGCATTGTCGTGTAAAGGAAAAGGCCCTCTATTCCAGGCTCTATCCGATGAATTTGGTGGCTTTCGTAGATAGATTTTAATTTATGTAAGAAGCCATATACAAAGTTTACGTTTGCAACCTAGGCCTTTATGAAAAACTACTGTCGAAGTGCATAATTTGAAACTTCACATTCAATGTTTGTTTTCGCGCCTTTTGGATTCACTTGTCAATGAATATGGAAAAGCATTTTTGACAGTTGTACAACTTTTCTATTGAAAATTTCACTTTTAACATTATACAACTCGCAAGTGAAAAAACACTTTCAAACCAACAAAATCTATTTCTATTTGAATTTTCTCGTAGTTAAAAGTACTAAATATTGGAAACTTTTAATTTGAAAACGCATAATTTTTATTGATACAATATTTGTTGTTTGTGTGCCCGGATGGGTAAACTGGTAAACTATCCCACAAATGGTTTGTATGATACCCCGAACACTTCGTTAAGCTCTCTTTTATGGTTGTTTTTATAGGGCGAATGGAGGCGATGCCTACAGAGCAAATAAAGAGTAATGTTTCCTAAATTTATATGATTTTGCTCGGGTATTTTCCACCACACGATGGTCTCTTTTTAACTCGCTTTTTAAGTGGTTACGCAGTTGATGCTGAAATTTACTAGCAATTTTAATAAGCTAAATGAGGTAAAATAATGCTTCAATGTATGCAACTTACTCGGGTCATCCTTTGGTGATGGTGGCAAGCTGTGGCAAGCAATACAGTAAATGTTGCCATCACGATTCCAGCTGACTCGTGAGATTTGGGGTATCCAGATGATAAACAGATATAAATGGTATCCGCACTGCATCCTCCGATGGATGGATGGCAAATCGGACAAAAGTCGTTCTCTTTGATGCTGCCAAAATAATATAGAAAATGTCACAGGAAACCTCGATCGCTTTGCGATGATTTCCACATTGCATGAAGCGTGAATGATTTAAAAATAAACAAATCTTTGACATTTCTGTCAGATCTTTCCAAAGATAAGAAGCAGCTAGAAAAATGTTAGAAGTTTTTAGGACTTTTTAAAACGGTTAGCAACCTAGTTTGTAATGAATATTTTGAGATTTTTCCCCCTAGAGATTATATTATATTATTAAAATTTTAATATTTAATACTGTCACTAGCCTCTACCGAGGAAATCACGCAATATTTGAACGGACCCTAAGTGAGTGAAATTATGGCGAGAATTATGGCGCTAACAGCAGCAATGTAAATTTGTCCGCCCTGGCAGCCCTGTAAATTTGGCTTGGACCCTGCAAAGTCAAGCTTCTTTCTTTAAAAAACATTCATTGATTCAATTTATAAACAAAGAGGCAAGCGGAGTGACGAATTGCAGTTACAAGTACGGAAGTGCAGAAGAAAAGTTAATTTTATTCTCATTAGTAACCGTGCACTCTAGTTGTTCAAATGGCAAAAAATATCTTGTAATGGTGACAATTTTGTGATAGTAGTTATAAGATTTGTGTAGCATATTGATAACGTTGCTGCAGCCAAACGACGAGAGTAAGTTTTATTTACGACCACGAATCACCGTGATTGTCCAATACCTACCTGATTAAATGACTATTGACTTCCATTTTGGCAGTGCATCCTGCGGTTGTCGGTCATCGGGTCACGATTGACACCCTGAATGCAGCCACCGGAGGAGCGGATGTTGTCGAGGATGATGATTCAGACAGCCCCGTCGAAGCATTCGAGCAAAGTATGTTAACCATTAAAACCCCAACTAGGGCCAGTGTCCAAGTCCAAGGTACCCATTCCCCAATTACTAATACAATATTGTCCAGAGTTGTTGTTGATTTGCGTGGCGTAGTGTATGTACCTGCTTAGTTGTCGCTTGATATTAGTCATCTACTTCAACACAGCTAAGTTCGTAGTGCATGACTTAATACCTAGCTGTTATAATACGAGTGTAGCAATAGGTTTTGGTGCTTTACTGGTTATTATAGTATTTCTTGTAACAGAAAGTTACTCATGGCTTAATTTAATAAGGGGATTGTTCAATTGCTCTGGGTTCGATTTGCTATTGCCTTATTCGTTATCAGTACACGATCCGTTTTACTGATTGTTGACAAATCAAGTCCAGGTGCTAGTTGTAGATTATAAATTATTTACAGCTCTAAATCGCGGGTTGAAGATTAGATCTCATTGCCGATAGACGTTTTGTTCGATCGCTGCGTTGTTTTTTTCGGTTGCTTTTGATAGCTATACAGTACGGTGAAATGTCGAGTGTAGTAGCCGTCACGAATACCATTGCGTTCATATTCCCGAATAATGCTGCCCAGCCAACTCTATCGGAGATGGTCCGCTTCGTGAAAGGCCTCACCGGTGATCAGGGAAAAATGGACACGGCGTATAAGAATGCTGAGGAGAGGACGGTATTCATTAAGTACAAGTCCGAGGAAGGCATGAGGGAAGCCCTCTCTTGTAACGATGAAAGGAAAACGTTCCATTATTCTAATGGAACACAAGTGGAGGTTTGCATGTCGGTAGCGGGTTGTAACATCCAGTACGTACGGGTGTTTGACCTACCGCCGGAGGTATCCGATCGTGATCTTGCTGCTGAACTAATCAAATTTGGGAAGATTAAGCGCTGTGTGCGGGAAAAGTATCCACCCGAATATCAACTGGATTTGTTCACTGGTGTCCGCGGAATTTACATGGATGTAGAGAAAGAAATTCCACCAGCGCTCTACTTCCTTAGCAGAAGAGGAAGAATTTTCTACAGTGGAAATAAATTGAAATGCTTTGCTTGTGGACAAGAGGGACATCAAAAAAAGTCTTGCGGAAGGAGGAACGTAAAAATAACAAGAGACACAGGAGCAGGTGTCGAAAAAAAAGAAGACGGGAAAAACACATTCGCTGCCGTTCTCGCAGGAACGAGTTCGCCAGAAAATGTCGAGAAGCAGGTAATAGATTTGGAAATAGAGATGCTGGAGGAGGAAGAAGAAGAAGAAGAAATCGGTACAACACTGGAAGCTGAATTGGATCACGGAAAACAGCAGAACAATCAACACAACCAGCAGCAGCAGAAGCAACCGGTATTACACTACCAACCGCAAAAGCAGCAAAAGATTGGAAACTGGACTGAGCACGTTCAACTGCATACAAAGCTGCTGAAGCAACAGCAGAAACAACAGAAGTATACCAATGATAATTCACCGCCCAGGAAGACCTTACGTCCCAGCTCTTCACGTTCGGGCACCGGATCAGATTAGTTTTAATAATTCAAATGAATTGTAATTATTCATTCTCTTGACTCTTGGCTCCGTAGAGTTTTAATTAACAGTTGAGCCTTACAAATAAATTAAATGGATAAAAAAAAAAAAGCTCTAAATCGTAAATACGCTGATGTCATACTAAGCATGTTACAGATGCGCCGATTCTTTGTGATAAGAGTTTCGATGCGACTTATACAGCTCATTTTAATTAATGATTTAGAATTACATAATTTAGTTTACAAAATGAACTCGTCAACTTTCAATAATTTAAGATATTATATATTATGCAAATAGAATAGGCTTGATATAAATTTCAAACTAGGGATTACCGCGAGAACTCTTTTTCAATGTCCCATCGGACTCTTCATTAATCTCTAAAAGTTTTAGTGGATTGTCTTCATAATTCGTTATGAAGTAGACCAACCGCTTTTTCAGAGCTTGAAAAACATCGCTTACAGAGCTTGTAAAAATATGTTAGAAATTATCGCGTCACGAAGTGTTGTACTTCTAGTAGTGGTTGGACATTATACATGCTTTTTATTGGATTATTATAAAATGTAATATAATATTGCGCATTTCACACCAAACTGGACAAATAAGTGTGTTTTCACTTAGTATGACAGGTGTTTGTCAGAAAATCACGAAATAGCACTAAAATTAACCCTAGCATTCGTCTTGTAGCTCCCTCAGAGATTGATTAGGTAATAAAAGTAGAATTTTCCATAATCCATTCGGTTTCTGTAGTTGCTTTTGATGGCTTTTCTACTTCCCCTCTCCAATTTACCATCACATCTCATTTTGTTTGCTATTGTTTCAGACATTTGGCAGCGTCCGTCCAGTCGTCCCCTGCCCACGGACGGGAGCGTGGAGCTTTGCTTTGAGATTCCATACGCCCGTGTTCTTCCACCAGCTGTCAGTGCCGATGGTAGTGGAGGTGCCCCTTCCAGTGGGAAAAAGTACGTCGCGTACGATGTCAGCGTCCGAAAGGACAGTGCCGAACCGGACCCCAATCCGACCAGCATCCAGCGGCGCTACACGCATTTTCTCAAGCTCTACGACGGCCTTAGGAAGGAACATTACCAGTTGTTGCAGGGTGTGCCCTTTCCGAAGAAGGTGTTGGTTGGCAACTTCAGCGGAGAACTGATTGGAGAGCGGAGTGTGGCCTTTGAGAGCTTCCTTGATTATATCGTTTCGGTGCCTTCACTGCGTGATTCGGAGCATTTTTTAGAATTTTTACAAGGTGATGAACTAAGAAAAGCTTGCCAACTGGTAGACGAGAGGCGTAACGAATTTGCGGTGCCGATTTTGGAGAACACATTTCGGGTGCTAAACAAGATCTTCCTGGATAAGTCCAAGTGCGTTCTACTGCTATTGTGTCGGTTGGTGGCAGCATGCACGACGTCACCGATTCCTCATCCTCTGGCCGAGCAGTGGGCTGAGCTCGCACTCAGACGGTACGAGCACGTCTGCGATACGGATCTATTGGTGCTTTATATTCCTCTCCTTCAAACCTGTTTGCATTTATGGTAAGCTGCATTCAATTTCGTTTAGTTTTGAATTTAGTTCAACGACGATACTTCACAGGTGGCAACGTGGCCGTGATCGTAGCCTTCTGGAAGAACGTCTTGGTGAAATGGGCAAAAAAGGCATCAAGGTAAAGGGTGGACCTACGCTGACCCAAGCCCTCCACACTCTCGATCCAAGGGCTGAAACAACGTAGAAAATAAAACATCACACGGAACTACAACATCACAAACAAATTCGAGTAAGTATTTTAGTTTGCATCAGTACATCACAAGTGACAAGCAATTAATACCCTTTAGCAGTAGTAGTAGTCTAATATTTAAGTTTCAAAATAATGCATCCCAACGATTAATTATCGGTTTTATTGTATGTATTGTGATTTGATTGATACCAAATTCTATGATAGGTTGTCGTATTCATTGATTATCCGATCGTATCGTATCATTTTGCTTTGCGTTTAAATTTTTGGCTTCCCGATCCATGTCTCCACTACTACAGTAAGGCTAAAAACAAAAAACATGTCAATGAAGAAAAATAGCTTTCAGACACCCCTCTGAAATCGGATTTAATTATAAATATGGTGCAGAAGTATTCATATCAATTTTATATAAGCCCTATTAAAGTTAACAAAATAATACAACCACGGGAAGTTAATCATATTTTTTTTTTGTATTGCACGGTGATAATCACAAAACCTAAAATTTTAAATTTTCTCATCCAGTGGCTGATTGCATTTTTTCTATCGCTTCACCTCCTTCTGGAAGAACTTGCTCTTGGCTGGGTAACAAGGTAACTGCCGTAGCCTGAACTATCTCTGCTTCGTGCCCGGCGTGGCGATCGTCTCGGTGTCCTTGCAAAACTCTCGTCGGTATCCTCTTCCGTCGGAGGATAACAGCAAACGTGACAAATTTCCCCCTCCCGTCGCTTCCGAACTCTTTCAACTATATCTTCTAGCTTACCTAATGCTTTCCTAGTAATCACCGAAGCATAATCCAGGTATCCCGTTGCACTGGCGGTAATTGCAAATGTCAGAAAACTGCACACCGTTATTACGAACTGCACCAAACTGGCACCACCCATGTCTAGATACAGCATGGGCTGCTGATTGGCAGTTAAAAACTCAAAAAATTTAAACAGCATGGCCTCTATACGACACCAGCCTGCAATCATGGCAATCTCGAGCGATAGCAGAAAGAAGAAAAACTCGACCACGGCTTGGGCCGTCAGTGGAACCTTACGATACCGCTGGGGAAAGATCTTGGTCCGTGAAAGGTACATTACGACCGAACTGAGACATAGCACACTTCTCGAGTTCAGATGGAGCGAGCAGCATCCTTGCGGGGGCTCCATGAAGACTAGAATTTTGAATCCGGCGTGTAAGAGGACGGCTAGGAACAGTGCAATTTTACTGCTCATCTCCGTGTTGGGTGAATCGCATGGATGGAACTGGTCTGAAAGTTTAAAAAATGTTAAAACTTTGAAATGAGAAAAAAAACTGTTACCTTTTGTTACGAATCGCGCGTAATCGTTTGACCTTCGGCAGATAATTTAGGGCCCACAGCGTTCCTAGCAGGTATCCAGCGGCTACCAAATTTCTGGCGAATACAAAGCCAGCGTCGGTCTTGGAAGCCTTGATCCAAAGGGTTAGAATTTCTCGCGTGAAGTTGAAAAAACGGAGAAAAAAGAACATCCGACTGATGACGAGAGCCTAAAATGACATTTCAAGGTAAGTACTTATGGCATACCTGGGTTGCTTTGTTAGGACAAGTATACGGTAAAGCACTCTAGTCACGCCAAGAGAAAAACAGTTGAACTCGGATCACGGTTTTCGAAACATTCCCTTTCTTTTCACTTGACAACAGACTTCTACATCAACTTCAAATAACTTCTAGCGAAAAAAATAGCGGCTGTAGTAAATCATTATATCTGTGATTTTGTCAAACTATCTTAACAAAAATAGTAGAAATTCTCATTACTGATCATTACCAAACGTATTCCATGACAATTTAATGCTCACTGCGTGTTGATGATCATTTCTTCGATTATATTTTATATTTTATTGCAATACCTTTCGTGGACCTTTCATAGCATCGTAATGTTTGTTTACTTTGCACGATAGGTAGCCGGTTTGACAGTTCAATAGGTAGACTTGGCTTCACTCTTAGCGTGACTCATTATACTAGGATTGGGCGATATTCAGAGAAAGATCGATCTTGACGGATCGATCTTATTTTTGGCTCTAGAATCGATCCACTGATTAAATCGGTACCAAATAATCGATCTTTGGTAGATCGATCTGTTTATTTTTATTTTAATATGCTTGTTTACGTTGGTACCCAAGAAATTCTTTCCTTTATAATATTCAATTCAATGTTGTCGTGACGGTAAGCAGCAATGAGCACAGTAGGGAGGTAGCATAAACCTTCAAAAATGTTGCTGTATTCGTAAATATCGGAAACGCAAATAGTGACGTCATTATGGGGAGCGATGCTAATGTTGACGTTATGTTCGTTAAATTTATTACGCAGTCTGTTGTGAGAGTACATTTTTTTTTCGATGTAAATGCACTTAAAAAATTAAACACCTATTTTTTGGAGATCAAAAAGATCGAAAGAAGAGATCGATTTTTTCGATCTTTTCGTGGACAAAGAATCGATCCGAAAAATCGGGAATCGGGATGAAAAAGATCGATCTTCCAAAGACCGATCCAAGATCGCCCAATCCTACATTATACACCGACTCTAGTAAAAGTATGGACGACTGTCACCACAAAACTGAAAAAAGTTGTTAAAGTCGAGCAAAGCAGTGCATTTTGACGGTTCGATTGGAACAACTTTTGACATACGTCCATACTTTTACTAGAAGACTAGTAAACGGGGGTCTTTGGCAATTTTATATTGTTTGGTGCAACCGGTGTAAATACCCGGAAAAAAATAACAATACAATTACCATAAATTAAGATACAATTACATCAAAATCTATTGCCAACAATCGATATTATTGTACGTATATTGTACAAGAAATTGTAACATATTGTTATTACAATAGATTTACAATACGTCCATATAGTAAGAATTTTCAACAATAGAACAACAATACAATTAATGGTAAATGGCTTATTTTTGTTCGGGAAAATGTGATTTTTCCTATGGTTAAGATACATAACAACCCCCTTGTTCTATTGTAGATTTCTCCATTTACCATAGATTCTATTGTGAAAACAATACAATCTACGTTTATTTTATTGTTTTAGACAATATGATTTATTGTAAATACAATAAATTCTATTGTATTGTTACAATACATTTCTTTGTCCGTCTGTGGTTCTTTTTTTACGGGTATCTACCTTATTTGGTATCTACCTGATTATTGAAAACAATTTGAGTGAAGAAAATAGACCTACTGTCGTGATTACCTGAGATTTGTCAATTAATGTAAATTTTTCTACTTACATATATTTACATTTTAGCACATCAAATGTTTCCACTATGGGATTTCACAAATTTGACAGAGGGTACAGGTCTATAAAATTTTTAGCCCATAACAAACTTGAACAACACATACGAACTTTGCGACTGTATTACATATTTTACTGCTGTCGCTTACACCGCATGCACTGAAACAAGGACCATAGTTTGGAATACTATTTTGCAGAAAACACTTATTATCAATATAACCATGCTTATTACTGTTAAATCTACTATGAATTCAGTTTAGTTTACCATGAATGTTAAAAAATTTACTATGATTCTAGCAAAACTACTATGCTTGCTCAAAATGCATAGTAATTTTGATAGAAATAATAGTAAAATTAAATGAAATTGTTTTCTGCAAAAATCTATTGGTGAGGGTATTTAATTTAAACCAGCAATATAGTATTTTTACCAATGGATTTTGTTTCAGAGTGTGTTTGGTTTGCGTTGGCTATAAGTGTGTGAGTGAAAAATAGCAGACAACAGAAAAATGCTAGCTTAGCAGCCCCTTGCATTTTAGGGAACGAAAATTCAACGTAACTGACAACCGCAACTGGATTGTACCACATGGCAACACTACTACCACAAACGAAGTGACAGACGACTAACTGGCGAAGAAATTAATTGGCAAATCAAAGTTGGCACTCGTGGAGAATAGAAGAACTATGAGAGTGATGATGGTTTCAAAATTTTCCACGGAGAGCCCTAATAAATAAAAACCATTAGCGAACGGTAACCCGGATGGTAGAACCATCCCACAAATGGTTTGGATGATACCCCGAACACGTCGTTAAGCTCTTTCTTATGGTTATTTTTATTAGGGAGGTATACGAGTGCAATCTTAAAATGCTTTTATTTTGAAAATGGAGCATTGAATTTAAATCTGGTTGTTGCTAAAGTTGTAGAAAAGCTGAAATCTATGCATACACCTAAAAATCTGAAAAGAAATTATTTTTTCTATATTATATATCTACTGAGTAGTCCTTAAGTTTTCTACTAACGTAGTATTAACCAGATTTAAATAAAATGCTCAATTTGCAAAATAAAGGCATTTTAAGATTGAACTCGTATACCTCTCCGTGTAAAATTTTGAAACCATCATCACTTTCATAGTTCATCTATTCTCCACGAGTGCCAACTTTGATTTGCCAATTAAAATAATGTGGTTCGCTGTAATAGAATTTTCTTAGAAGCTTGTGCCATCATCCACCAGATGGAATAGTATTTTTGTTTTGGTTTTGCACAAAGTTGATTTTGTATACAATGATTCTTTGACAGTGTGCAAAGAGTGCGTATCATTTTGTCATTTTTTATGCATTTCAGTTTTGAGTAGAGTGAAAGAGATAGAACCAAAACATTCTAGTACATTCGGTGAAAATGCTTGTTCAATCTAGTAGTAGCATAGAGGTAACTCTAAGACAAGTAGGTCCCGAAGAAACGTGCTCAACTTTTTGGCTCACCTCTGGTACTATCTTCGGTCCCAAGCTTGTCGAATCACCCCTCGAAACATAGGTAAAACCAATAACCCCTCATTTTATCTGTCAAACTTTCATAGCGAATCAAAACAAACATTGCGTAGTACTAGAATTTCGACTAGAATAGGGTACGTTAATCGTTTGCTTGGGACCAATAGGCTACTAAAGTGGTGATCCAATTTAAAATCGTTAGTTTCGTATTGATTGTTGATTGTACCCCTTCCAACTTTTGCGACTTTTTGGAAGTGGTTACTGGCTTCACCATAGCGTTGGGTCAGCTCGTGGTTCACCTCCATACGCCGTTTTCTAGCGCAATGTTTAACAGAAGGTATTACATTTTTTTATATCTTTATTAAGGAGACTTTCAGCCCTGGGCTGGTTCTTCTCCAAGGCATTGCATTGTCAAAGTTCTTTGCGGGTTTCTTCTTTTTATTTCCTTTATTTAACGGCTGTATCTGTTCCGCAATCTAGTGCCAATCAGCGACGGGCATCAATTGCCATCCATTGACGGCAATCAAATGTGCAGGAAGGCAGCTTCCACACCTGCGTAGAATATCGCACCCATTCAACACACATGGGCCGGGACCAACGGTTTTACTTCCCTTCCGAAGAAAGACGTGACCAGAGATTTTTATGCCTCAGAAAAATCCCACCGACCTTGGCTGGAATTGAACCCAAATCAATTGGGGTGAGAAAGCAGTCACGCGGCGCCGGTAAAAATACTCCTTTGCGAACCTGAGTATTGAGATCTCTGATAATGATTTTAACTTGATGGCTTGTTCAGCTCATATCATGCGACAAAATCTACATAGGGTGGATTCACCAGTTATGCCTATACGTTCCTATTATGGGTTTTCCAATTGTGGCATATGGGAATCCCATAGGGCTTTTTGACGTTTAATTTTCGCACACTACTGCACCATTCAAATCGAACGAGTGCGAGCAAGAGGAAACAGATTAGTGGGAAAACAAACCTTCCATTCATCCATGTGCGCTGGATAGAGAAAGACGATTAAACGTCAAAAAGGTCTTTAGGCCATAATTAGAACAGACCATAATAGGAATTGGTACACACCCACTCTACAAACTTTAAACTGCTAGCGTGGCACCATTACTATTTTTGCATTTGTTCCTATTTTGGAATTATGAATCGAACTGGACTTTACTTGCATTTTTTTTCTTCATTATGAAGCACCGTAATGTACCAGTTGCCTACGGCTCTATATAATTCTAGAGAGACCCTTCAAAACATCTTTTTCCACCAATGAGTCATTGATTTCATTTTTTCATTCGCGACTACAGCGCACAATAAATACTGTTTAATTCTAGGAATACAAACATAAATTATGGCAACTAGTTTAACATAGGATGGTTCGAAAAAGAATACTGAATACAAGCCATGGAGAAGAAGGCAAATAATTCGCGTTGCATTCGCGCACTAATCTAGCGATAAAAATCTTCACAATAAACACCCAACACCTTATCGTTTGAACAGTTGCATTACTGTTTTGATAATATCAGTGGTTACATACACTATGATACTACTAATGAAGCTTGAAGAGGGTTAGCACAGTTGGCATATAGCCTAATTGGCATAATTTATAGTTTATAGAATAAAAACTAGGTAATTGAATTAACTCTTAAAGTTTTTTTTATATCACAATAGTTTAGATAGTGCATCTTAGAAATCTATAAAAAATAGGTTTTGACACTACAGTCAACTCTCCCTAACTCGATATTGAAGAGACCATCGATTTAAGGAGGATAGCGGTTACATAGGTAAATTTTGGGCATTTGTATCTGAAAAGCGGTTGAAGCAGCCTGCATCGAGTTAGAGAGAGATCGATTAAGGAAGAGCTTTATTTTTTCTGTGAAACTCAGCTTACCCTCTCCTTCAAAGCAAAAAAAGGAATATTACAGCGAATCGGCTTCGTAAAGCTAACGCGATCGAGCCTCCCAAATAAACGAACTAGAAAAAAAATATTACACCGAAACAGCTGCACATAGATCATTCCATCGTTGTGTAATATTACCACAAACGAAGTGACAGACGACTTACTGGCGAAGAAATCCATTAAAATAATGTGGTTCACTGTAATAGAATTTTCTTGGAAGCTTGTGCCATCATCCACCAGATGGGTTAGTTTTTTTTGTTTTGATTTGAACAAAGTTGATTTTGTGTACAATGATTCTTTGACAGTGTGCAAAGAGTGCGTATCATTTTGTCATTTTTTTATGCATTTCAGTTTTGAGTAGAGTGAAAGAGATAGAACCAAAACATTCTAGTACATTCGGTTAAAATGCTAGTTCAATCTAGTAGTAGTGTTGCCATGTGGTACAATCCAGTAGTAGTGGTGTTGCCATGTGGTACACTGAAAAATTGCATTAGCAGGTTAGTCACCAAAGTTTTCGAGCCGCTCCGTCTGTCACTTCGTTTGTGATATTACATTGAGCAGTGTAACAGATTTAGCGAACCAAATTTGCTTTCATGAATATAATATGTATTATATCTGGTTTTTACAATTACATGAATATTTGATACATCCACATGAATTACGTTGATCGACATTCCATTTTTTGTCGTGTTCTCATGAGCATGGGTGATCCACAACTTTTCGGTCCGTCTCATGTTTGTCAATCTATCATTCTTCCAGTCAGTTCTTATTTAAGCTTCTCCGTGTGTTCATTATTCTTGTCCATATGTATTCTTGGGAATTCAACCCGATTGTGTTAGCCCCTTTTTGAAAATCTTTTCTAACATCCTACGAAACCCACGACACATTTCAGTTTAGGCACCAAAGTATGCCTTAAACATTCATCATGAAATGAATGAGAAAGATTTAGATTTACGGTTTTTGAAATTATTGAAAGATAAAAGTCTGATAAATCGGGTCATTACTGCCCTGTGTGGCATTACAGTCCCATTAACATTTTAGGCAAACATGAGTTATGCACTCAAGTCTTTTTTACACGGTTTTTTAAGCGTTTTTACACGGTTAGTGCCGCTGAGTCGTGATTTACACGGTACGTTTTTAACGATTTCTCGACAACAATACAACCTGTCGACTTGATTCCAGCACATTATCCTTTTCAAGCTATAGGTAATCGAATGGCATACTTAGAAAAAAAATCTCAATTTTTGGTGTAAAGACAGAAATTTTTAAAATATGTCTATATGGACCATAGTATAATTACGAATAGCATCAAAATCTGACCTGAGTGTACATTGGAATCGATTACAAGTACCATCACTTTACAGTGTACACGAAAAGTTTCCTGCTTTGTTAAAAAAATGTCGCGAAAAATACCAAAACTATGTTGTCCCATCAATAAGAGCCCATGGAGAAAACAATCTTCAAACAGCTTGCTGTTTTAACAAATGGAACAACAATGCTGAAAAGGGAAATGTAGTGCGCGTTATAGCACACTGCCTCCGGAACTAAACTAAAATCAAAACGTGTTTAATTTTAACCCATAGTAAAATGTATCGATATTTTGTTCAAATCAATTATGATTTAAACAAAATTGCTATGCTCCCCTTAAAATCTAACATATTATTGTTAACAACATACATGGTTAAAACACATAGATAAACAGGCATAAAACTTATAATTGAAACTATCTCAGTTGGTAGTACTGCCACATGTGGCGTGCATAGTAAATGCACATGCATTTGACGTTTACACACTACCGTCATCTGTTCAGCGTACTACGCACCACAGTGTGCTCAACAGATGGCGGTAGTGTTTTAGCGACGATGTTTCACAATTAGAAATATTCAATGTGTTATTTCTGTTTGTCTGTGGTTAAAATATTTACTTCAACACTACCAAGCTACCATATGTAGTAACATCAACAGAAATGGTATAACCGTATAACACTGAGTAGCGGTTCAGAGGATAAACAACTATGTTAATATTTCATGTTCATATATTTCACATACAGCTGAGTGGCATTATGTCAAATGATTTTATGGCAAAATGGGAGGACCGATAATATAAAGCGAAGCCTTCATTTCAACAAGAGTGTTAACTCCCATGTATCGCAAGTTTCGATGCAAGCGTTGAACCGTAATCATGTGTTTACAATCTTGTGTTCAACCAAGACTTTCTTAGTAAAAACGCCAACTAGTGATATTGTAAAATTCCAACCAAGGCCGAAGCGCAATGGCAGCGGAAGCGGAACGGCAACGGCAGCGGAAAAGCCCGATCTGAGTAAGCCAACTTCTCGGATTGAAAACTTGTTGGAACCAAATCGACTTCGGTTAGGCACTTGATGTCATTTGTGACAACTGTCAATCTTTCCGTTTCCGTTCCGCTTCCGTCCACATTGCGTTTGGGCCTTAACTCGTTAACTCGGCAAAAATGTGTAAGTGATCGATCTTCTTGATGTATACAATCTTCGAGTAGTAAATATTTCGCATCGAATCAGATATTTATCATTCTACAATTCAGTGTCAACATTTCAAAGGGGCGTAATTGCTTTTGTAAACAATGACTTTAGTCGTCAATTTCTCGCGAATGATATCTTACCTCTCCAAAATTACAATGCTAGCTGGTAGAGGAAACATTCATCTACCTGGTGGTGTTATTATTTTTCATGAGTGAGCTTTTATTTGCGAGAAATCTATGGCTAAAGCCATTGTTTACAAATGCAATTACGCCCCTTTGAAATGTTGGCACTGAATTTATGACGTTGACTATATCACTCGAACTTGACAATAATTATTTGTTTTACATTCTATAAGTGTCTTCAATTTGATTTAATAGTTTTTGTGGCTTGAGGTAGCTTTAAAAGGTAGTGTTGTGCTTTGAAAAATAGTTGATTTGCGAAACCAACCAGAAACCAGAACCCAATATTACCCAGTGAAACGGACCCCGAACGGAGTCAATAATTATGGAAGGAGTAAGAACGGTACGTACAACGAAATCACAGGGCGAAAATACAATTCAGCGCAAAGCGGAGATTCGATCGACTTTATTACAGTGTCTCGAGCATTCTGCTTCTTTTACAACATTGAACGCACTATATACCTATGCAAAATTTGCTTACTTAACAAATTTGCGTCCATGTATGTGGCTGCATGAGTGTATGTGTATTACAGTGAAGCAAAATTTAAAAATTTTAATCCACATTGGATCCGGAATCCGGATCCTGTTCATTCTCCCAAAATTCAAACTTATTTGGTAAGAAACTGACTAGCATAGCATAGCACATGCGATTGTACAAATCGTGGGGGGCTATGTAACGGTTAACAGGTAAATTTTGCAGCGAATGTCGTGTGTTGCCACGAAAAAGCCCTTGGGATTCCCGCATAAACGCGAACCATAAATTGACCTTACCTAAAATGGTTAAAAATTGTTTATAATCCCTGCTAAACTTTAACTGAAATGGTTATGGAACTTTACATGAACGTTTAATGATAAAATTTCAACCTTATGTATTATGGTTTTTTGGAACTGGACCTTACAAATAATGGGTTGTTAAGAACCATTACCGTTCCAAATTCTTGTTTTCTCCATACATTTTCGGAAAGAGAACTATATTAGAACCTTTTAACTTATGGTTTGAGAACTTTAATGGTAATGGTTATGGTAGTCATTAAGGTCCACGAATCGTTTTGTAACATCGATCAACTTTATGTGGAATATATCGTGAATTGGTAATCAGTAAATTACAGGCAAGCAGATCGTGAAATATGGTTGTATTAGTAAACCAAAAAATCTACTTAAACGAAAGTAGTGACGTCACTAATTGCTTGTATCGTACATGGGTTTTACTCACACAACTTAACCGATTGCTTCACCTCGGTAATCCAGCTCATTGCGGACAGACTACGGCTTATATCATGTAATATAGGCTGTCTTGCAATAAGCACTCATACATAGGATTTCCAGTGAAAACTAGATGTATGAGTGCTCATTGCAAGACAGCCTACATGATATAAGCCATAGTCTGTACGGGGTATTGGCGTCTTGCAGTGAAACTTTTCCATGCTTTCGCCACCTACATTTCGAAGTGAGAACTACTAGAAGGAGGATAGTTTCCAAATTCTTCAAGTAAAACAGACGATTTTTGGGGCAAATCGGTACATAAAGAAAAACTAATAATTTCCCGTGGAAACTTTTGCTTGAATCGTGTAAGAAAATGTGTTTGCAAACTAACTGTTATTATTTCGGTATGGATCGGAGATGTTTTCATGGAAAATTATGCATAACAAGTTTGCACCCACAGGGAGAGGTTACCTCCTGCGCAGCGGCATTTTTCGGAAAATGGTGAATATGTGCGATTTCCACTAGGATGAAAGTGGAAATTAAGTTAAATTACTTAGGAAAGGTTGTATCATGCTGGTGGTAATGGAGATTGGTTGTATAGGACGCCAATATTCAATAAATGTTCATTTTGGCCTTTTGTTAGCAAACACATTGATGCTCACAATTTTCGACGGAAAACGCAACGGAACTTGCTTTACTCAACACGCACCATACTATAAAATGGTGCTAGATGGTCTTCAAAGTGATAGCAAGATGACAAATCATCTCTATTTTGAATAATTGAGCAATTTACTTCTGTTTACATCATATTTACGATGCAGCATTGTTAGAGCCGCGAAATGAAATGAATATATCTTATGAAAGTTCAACTGGAAAAGTCAAAGTTGCACATCAGTCTGATCGTAAAAACGTTTTCTTCTGCAATTCGAATGTTATATTGGAAGAATTTTACACAGGCTTGATGAAAATTATGATTTAACGCTAATTTTCACGAATTTTATATGCAGTCTGTCAACATTATCATCATCATGCAGTGGCGACATCTGCGTTGAGCTTTTACGGCAATCTTCCAATTACCGAATAGAGATTCCGAAATACGTGTATATTAGAAATACTCAGAGGGAGAGATAGGCGGAGAAAACAAAATACAATTCGGCAGCAGAGATTTGTTCCTAAATTATCTTGCAACCCTTGCTAGAAGCTAGCATTTCAAATGACTTATTTTTGATTCGATTTACGTGCAAAATAATAATTGATTGCATTGCAATATTTTGCACATTTCTTGGTGCCATTTATTAACCAACGAAGATCAATTAATCAATAGAGTTAGAATATTGTTTTTGGTTCCAAAAACTAGTTGAATTTGAGAAGCACACAAAACATAAAGGTGATTGAATTTCTGTTCGATTGCAATACTCTCAAAATTATTCTAGTTAGAATAAGAAATCCTCGGAAAAAATCTAATTGGAATGTTCGATTGGCTCAGATTTTGACAGTTCATTTGGCTCAAAACATTCTCTCCGCCCATCTCTCCCTCTGAGTATTTCTATTATTTATACCCTTTCCTACATTGCGAATGAGAACGACCCAAATTAGAGTTTAGTGCACTCATAATCGCCAAAAGAACAAGAACTAAGCGACGAGTAAATTTGTCCCATGGTTTCCTGTGGAAAACCTAAAAAAATCTGCCGGAAAATAAGGGAATAGACGAAATTTTTACTCAGTCTAGGAGTAGTACCAATAGACTGAGTGAATCAAATCTTTACTTTACTCATATTCAGGAAGTTTTTCCTGGACAAACCTGGAAAACATGATTGATGAGTTAACTAAACTCAAATTTGGGTCGTTCTATTCGCCTAACATGAATGTTCCCTCCCGTGACATTTATGAAAGTAGTATGGGTTCCCTGCACCTTCTTAAGTAGATGTTGAACTAATTGTCCTTCCTATCCCCTGGGATTGTAAGAATTTGGTCAGGTGTATAAGGCGATGCTTGTTTTTGCTAGAGTCGGTGTATAATGAGTCACGCCAAGAGAAAAACAGTTGAACTCGCATCACGGTTTTCGAAAGATTCCCATTCTTTTCACTTGGCAACAGAGGACTTCTACAACAACTTCAAATGACTTCTAGCGAGAGAAAAAAAATGCGGCTGTAGTAAATCATTATATCAGTGATTTTGTCAAATTATCTTAACAAAAAATAGTAGAAATTCTCATTACTGATCATTACCGAACGTATCCCATAACAATTTAAAGCTCACTGCGTGTTTATGCTCATTTCTTCGATAATATTTTATATTTTATTGCAATACCTTTCGTGGACCTTTCATAGCATCGTAATGTTTATTTACTTTGCCCGATAGGTAGCCGGTTTGACGGTTCGATAGGTAGACTTGGCTTCACTCTTGGCGTGACTCATTATACACCGACTCTAGTTTTTGCAAATTTTGATGTTTGAAAAAACCACTTAGGCTGTGAACCATTTGCCGAGTTTAATTTAACTCGTGGTTAAAAGTGACATTTCGAAAGTTATTTTCTATGTTCGAAAATCCCCGTGCTGTCGATCGACCGGTTTTCGAGCCACAATTGTCAAAATTTAACTTCTTGTCTGTCAGAAGTAACCACGCTCGGGTAGCAGGGTTAATCGATAACTTTCCATCTGTCAAATTTTAACCAAAAGTTAAAATAATTCGCCAAATGGTTCAGAGCCTTAGAATCCGGACTCATAAAACCAGGTGTTTCTAGGAATTGATTTGACGTAAGAAAAATGAAATTTAGTCAAAATGAAGGTACTTTATTGTACCTTCCGGTCACGGTATTCGAAACATTTTCTGTGATAATTGACTGCTTTTGCCTCCGACATTTGCAAAACAAGGTATCATAGTACAGTACCAAACTAAAATGTCAAATGACAGGCTCTGCAGGGCTGATAGCGGGTCACTTTTTAGTGACTTTGTCACTTTTTTGAAGGTGGTCACTAAAAAGTCCCTATTTTCGACAAAAAGTCACTAAAGTCACTTTTTTCGCCATTCCCGCTTGAATTGCTTTGAACTTTTTCCAAGTAGGCCTGTGAACAATTTCTTGGGTACAAATTGGACTAGGAACTACTTGGAAAGCAGTTCCAGATAATTTTAAGGAGAAATCCATGTGAATTTTCAGTAGAACTTAGAGGAGAACTCCAAGACAATTCAGATTAAAAATTTATAAGAACTCAGAGGTGAACAGTATGGGAATTTCTAAGGGGGTGAATTCTTTAAAAAAGTTTATAATTCAAAGAGAATCTAAGGACGAATTTGATGATTGTTTCAGTGTTCTGCAGAGAATTTCTGAACTGTTATAAAAAAAATTCAAGGCACTCCCAGAGATAAACTCGAATTTATTTTAGATGAACTCTATAAAAATAAATTCTTTTAAAGAAATACTTCAACTTAAATATAATCCTGTTAAGCTCTGTAAAGCTCTGGAACTTCAGTCTCAAATACTCATGTTAAATATTTATTTCGTTACAATATATAAGAACCTTATGGTAACTAAAATCAAACACTTCATCAATAAGTAGCTTTTGGTTTTATATATAATTAATCTACTGATTGGTTTAAGTTAAATTTGAATCCATGTCTCTAAAATTTCACCTTTCACCAAGTTCATGTACCTGTTGAGTTTAAATTTTTATTCTTGTCAATGTGTATAAAATTTAACCCTTGGATCATTTTCAATGTCCTAGAACTTTAGTTTTGTAGGCAATTCTGAGGCAATTCCAAGGCAACATTGAATAGGATTCAATACAAATTTTAATGAAAATTCATAACAGCTTTTGACTCTTATTCTTAAGGAATTATGAGAAAATTTGGACGAGAAGGAGGATTACACCATGATCATTCTGAGGAGAACTTCAAGATAATACAAAAGAGGACATTCTGAGGATAATTTAAAGAAGATTCTGAGACAAAATAATCCGAAGCGTATTTCTATGTGAGTTTTTGGAGAAATCATAGGATTACAATTGAATATGAGTATAATTTCTATAGAACCTCAAATGAATTCGGTTAAAAATTTCAAGAGGGTTCTGACAAATTTTGTGGAGAAATTTAAGCAAAACTGAAAGTAATTGTTCAGGTGAGAATTGCATAGTTCCTAGTAAG